AATAGTATTTTAAAGGCTTTATAGTTACTTATCTTAAAACGTTTAAGTACCTTCTTAACGTAAGCGTCTTATATAAGAGATATAGTCTTATTACTTTTATTCTTAACGATCTTATCGCCTATAAAGTAGTAGTAAAGACCTAGATCCTTTATCTTAAACGCGTTCTATAAGGCTACTTTTAGATTAGCTAGCTCTTTTTCTTTTAGGCCGACTAATAAGAAGTTGTTTACGTAGGTTATAACGATTAATCTACTCTTAAGGTATTAATATATATAATTATTAGCTATTAAGGGCTTAAAACCTAGCTTAATAAGTACTTAGCGTAGCTTTAGCTACTATAACTATAGAGCCTACTTTAAACTATATAAAGCCTTATTAAGCTTATAGATATAAGTATTATCTTTACTAGAGCTAGTTAGAAGTTCTACGTATATATCCTTATTAGCTTTCTTATTTAGAAAGGCTATAACGTAGTCTATTTATTCTGTTTTCTAGTCTTCTTTAGCTACTAAGGCTAGGATTACCTTCTAAGTTATACTTTTAGCTATACTAGCGTAAGTCTAATCGTAATTACGCTTATAGCGTTACTTATATCCTTTAACTACCTAGTAGGCCTTATAACGTACTACTAAACTATTAACGCTAGTTTTTTTCTTAAATACCTACTTACTACCTAAAACCTTAGTACTCTTTTAAAGGCTTAATCTCTTAACTAGACTTTATGTATCGTTCTTTATAAGTAAGTCGAGTTTGTTCTATATAGCCTTCTTCTACTACTTAGACTTAACGCTACTAACTACCTTCTTATATATAATTAAGACGTTTTCTAGATTGTCTTTAACTATAGTCTAGTAAGTAGTATAGAACGCTATAGCTATAGTAGAATAAGCTAATTACTATACCTTTTGTTTAGTATTATTTCTTATATCCTCTTTAGTTATATAACGTAATTAGGATTAAGTTATTTAGGTAGTTTTAAGGTTAATAAACTATATAGAGTCTTAGGCTTAAGCTAGAGCTTAAGTTACCTTTAGCTTATTCTTTAAACCTTTTAGGCGCCCCTAGCCGCGCTTAATAGCTACTAAATTAGGTAAGGTAGTAGTTAACTAATCTTAGATCTGTTTTATAGTAAAGTTAGTATTAGCTAGTAGATTAATATTAGTAGTAGTAAGGGGCGGTTTCTTAGCTATTTTAGCTACTTTAGCTAGATCTTAATCTTTAGCTAGCTCTTAATCTTTAGCTTTATCTACGTCTTTAGTGTTTGTTAAATCTATAAGTAGATTAGTTAGTAGGCACAGTTTAGTTAGTAGTAACTATATCTTATTATCTAATACTTCTAATATAAAACCTCTTTTATTAAATCTTATATTTAACGATCTAACGATCTTATAAGCTCTTAAGGGTACGTAATAGTAGTATATTTAGTAGCCTTTAAAACTAAGAAGGATCCCTTTTTTAGCGCGCTTATTAAACTTCTCTAACTTAACCTATCTTTAATCTAGGATATAAACATATACCTTATAGCTAAGTACTTATAAGTAGGCTACAGATAGCTTATTGTCTTAATTTAGGTATAGCTAATCTATAAAGGCTTAATATAGGGTTTTGCCCTTAATAGCTAATGTAGCTATTCTATTAACAACATAAATTGTCTCTTTTAGTAACTCTAGCTATAGCTCTTTAGAGACGTTCTAGTTAATTATAGTAGATTATAGCTATCTAGCTATAATCTTATTTATAATCTTAGATATGCCTAGTTACTTAAGGGTATATAGTATAGTCTCTTTAACTTAAATCCCCTTTACCTTATAGACGCTAGTTAACGTAATACTACTATATTTGTTACTACTATTAACTATTAATATAAGGATCTTAAAAGGAGTAAACTAACGCTCTATTATATTAATAAAGCTAAGGATCTTATTATAAGCCTCTTCTTTCTTCTTATAAGAGTAGCCTTATCTAGTGTATATAGCTACGTCTATTATAATTATAGTATAACGCTTACTATAAAATCTAATAAGAGTAATCTCTACTACGTCTATACTTACCTCTTAGAGTATAACAGTAGGCTAGTGTTTAATAGAGCGTCTAACTAAGTGTAGTAGCTTTAATAGCTTATAAGGCTTATAAAGAACTATAATACTAAGATCTGTATCTATAGGCTTGTCTATAATCTATATACTAGTAGTAATTTTTATAGTCTTTTAGACGTTATTAAAGCCTAAGTACCCTAATCTCTTATACTATAGTTTAATTCCTAGTTTACCTTATTAAAGAGTAGCTAGTAGTACTATAATATAGTAGCTAGGCAAGTCTAACTATAGATATACCCTTATATCGTCGACCTTATAAAGTATAAGCGTCTCTTCTTCTCTGTCTAAAAGGGCTCTCTTTATAATAGATCTACTATAGTGTAGTAGCTTAATACCTAATAATAGATTAATAAGAAAGGTTAGAATAAACAGAACTCTCTCTAGCTATAGTTTACGATACTAATCGCTCTTTACCTTAGCCTTTAGGACAATATTACTATAACCCTCTAGTTAGATTAATCTAGCGCCTATTAGAACAGGTTATAACTACTTAGTTACCTTAAAGCTATAAAAGATTAACTTATCGTTATATATATAGTAAGTTGCCCTTATATCTAGGCACTAGTTTCCCTTTTAGAACTCTTTTTAAGTAGCTAATCTAAGCGCTACCTTTAAAGCCTTAAGGCCTAGTACGCTATTAATCTAAGGCTACTAATTACTTACTATATAAAGTAATATAGCGCTCTTTAAAGACTCCTTTTAGTCCTTCTTTAGACGCTTTTTTAGGAACGTAGTCTAGTAATTGTCTTTATCCTTTATAACGTAAAGCTTACTATAGTAGTAGCACTACTTTTTCTTAAGCTTCTTCTTATCCTTATCCTTACTCTTACCCTTTTCCTTATTCTTATTATCCGGCTTACTACTATATAGTAATACTAATAAAAGTACTAATCTACTGTCCTTTATCTAGGCTTTGTCTCTAATCTTTATAACTAATATATTAAGTAATAAAGTACTTTTCTTACTACTCTTCTATAGGTTTTAAAAGGATTAGTGTCTTTTAGCTTATTAAGGAAAGGCTTTTATAAGTCGATTAATAAAGATAATAGTATATAAGTAGTCGCTCTTAGGCGCTACATTTAGTTATATAGCTTATTTAAGTTAAGTTATAAAGGTATTAATAAACTTCTTTATATTATTATAGTCCTTATATCTAAGTAACTAGAACTTATTTACTACTTAATACTACTAAGTAAACCCTTTGCCCTTATAGTAATTAGCTAGCTTAGTCTATATAGCCTCTACTAAGTCTACTTTAGCTATAAGATTAAGTACTAGAACTAATAATATATTCTCTTTAATAACCTAACGCGTTATAGTATTACTAGCTCTTTATTTGTTATACTAATCTAGCTCTTCTTTTATTATAGTAGTATTACTATACTTATAAGACTTAAGGATAAGATACTTCTTAGATATAAACCTATTAAGCCTATTAGCTTTAAGTATGTCGTATATATCTGTCTTCTAAGTACAGAAGTTACTCTCGCCTTATAGCCTCTTACTACTCGCGAGCGCGGTTAAGTTAGATATCGTAGATTAGTCTAAGGTTCTATAATATAGTTGTTATCCCCTAGGCTCTATAATCTTGTCTAGAGCTCTATTTAATTAACAGATGTACTATAATCAAAAACAGGCTTTACTATAACGAATCTTACAATAGATTAATTCGAGTTTAGTAGAGGAGATCAAATAGTATTACTACTATATTATATAGGATAATCGATCTATCGTAAGAACTATTAAATTAAATTAACTAAGTAAAGTAATTATATAGAGTACCTGTATAGTAATAGTAAACAACTAACTTTTTTGCGGGTTACTAACCCTAATTAGGTTAGACTAGGGCCTTCGGAGCATCCTAGTCCCGTGACTGCTAACCCCACGTGATAAGGCCAGTGGTTTCTTGCAACACATACTCATTCCTGAAGAGAATGAGATCTACACTATTATCAACCACGTATCCTTTTTTGCCAAGTTCATTTCTTATCCAACTCTCCACCACGAACCTTCGTCACGGCAATCTCCCTCCTCCATTCTCGATCACCAATCATTGTAGTGATACCCCAAAGCCAAAGTATTTGCCATCAGGGGTATACCACCAATGCTCAATCCCTCCCCACGATAGGCTTCAAAAGCAAAGTCGTAACCAGCAGCGACTGTAAACCATTTGCTAATATAGCGGCCCGTAAACGCAAATGAAAGGAGAGGGTATTGAAAGATAAGTGGTTATTCCATCCTCGCCTGATTGTAAATCGGGGCTTCGAGCGCCAATAGTAGTCTCCTCAAGCTCGCCCTTGTCGTAGTTCAAACTTACACTTTCCATCTCCATACCTAGAACAATATGCTCACTCCATTATTGCTGACTAAAGCAGTAAGGCACTCCAGTTCCAAAACTGCTATGAGGAGATGTAACTGTAGCCCAACATTCCACCAGTGGATTCGGCATGAGATGCGTCCAAAACTTGGCAAAAGGGATGAAAGATAATATGGAATTAAAATCGCAAACTACAGGCTAGTAGACTGGAGGGTAAAGGTAAAGCTTACAACTATAAGCCCTACGCTTCTGAACAGATGTTACCGCGTAAATGCTCCTGTCTGGCTCTCAAGACATGAAGCCCCTGATCTGCGTACTTCGTTCGCACTTTTAATGCCGAGGAAAAGAATAAATAAGGACCGTCCCTACCACTTAGTTTTTGGCTAAGACGTGATGAATACTACCTATACCTGTGAGAGTTGAAGATGTACTCTATCTTTGGAGTTCATTCATCGAAGTTCCTTGAGTTCTTCGGGTATTCTAACAACGGGTAGCACAGCCACACATCATTGATTCGCCACACTCGCCACAGTTCCTTCGCCACAGTCCGCGGGGTATAAAAGGCAAAGGCTCAGAGCATCTTCATAAGCTTTTCCCCAATATCTTCTGAGTACTGTATCATCGCAGTTGAAGATAAGCCATTATCCAAGCAAAAACAAAAACAACTGTCAAACGCAAGCAACATGCCTATCCCAATATTTCACCCTAAGGAGACCTCCTCGCAGTCAAGCGGCCCTCCCAATCCAAAACCGGACTCTTCTATTCCCGCACCGTCCGCCTCTCAAACTAGCACAAACCTACATCCAGCAAGCCCAAGGACCGAGGCGCAAGAGGCCGCGGATAGACTCTATGAGGAGCGTCTGGAGGAGGAATATGCCAAGAGAGAGGGGGGCGCGTGAGGGATGATCTGATAGAAAGGCTGCGGTGTGCGGGTATGGGCGTTTGTAGGCGTTAGGACATCAAGGGGGTCCATAGTGATGGGCTTGGGTCCTCCTCGTCGTAATGATCAATCAATACCACTTTGTTTGGATTATCAGACTTCTCTGGAGAATGTGTCGTTACTCTGTTCATGTTCATGTTGCTAATAATAAAACAACGCCAATGCCTACTCTATACACCTCTCACTATCTCGGTGACATCCCACGTAGATCCCCAACTCCGGCATTCTTGCCTACCAATATACCAGATGTAGCCTGCATGTACTTATCCAATAATAAGTCGTTGAATCCTGTTTCTACCAATCCCATCCGTGCCTTTTCTGATTGTATAATGAGTATTTTACGGAGGATTACTACTGCTGTATCCCCTATCTAGTTGCAAGTCAACGTTGACTGGCCTACCAATCAGCGGCGCTGTGTGAGGCACTCCCCCGATCGATCAGCCAATCAGACCATCGCTATATGCTGCTGACCACCTCAAGCTCCATCAAAGAATTCGAAGCTCAAAAGAGCCAGAATTTGGCTGTTAGCAAGCCAACAGACAGTACAGACACCACGGGATATATTTACGGTCATGGCCTCCAAGAAGATTGCTGGTGACCCTACAAGTTACGACAGGTTAGATGACCAACACTTCTATCGCGACAACAGCCACACACGACATCCATCGGCCTCCTCGAACATCGGACACTTCTCTCCTTCTATCACCACATCCTCGTCTTCCCTGAATCAAAAGCGCGATCGGGGATACCCTCGACCTTCTCGAATAAAAGCAATGTCTCTCGTTGGGCTGAAAAATATATTCTTCCGTCAATCCATCGCTCTAGTTCCCACGCCACGTACATCAGAAACACAACACACAGACGCCACAGATGTCGAGTCGCAAGATTCCAAGAGCGAAAGGGCAAGCCAAAAGAAGGGCTTCAGGGTAGATGCGCGTGTCATATCTGACGCGACAATCGGCCTATCGGACGGCCTCACGGTTCCTTTCGCCCTGACTGCCGGTCTCTCTGCCTTGGGCAATACCAAAGTCGTCGTTTATGGGGGCTTCGCTGAACTAATCGCTGGCGCCATTTCCATGGGTTTGGGAGGATATCTCGGTGCGCAGAGTGAAACGTAAGTCGTCAATCCCTAGGTTATCAGTATTTGCTGACGGTCCAAGTGCTTCATACCAAGCTCAGAGAGAGGAGACGCAGCAGCTCCTTGCTTCCAACCCCCAATCTGTCATGGCAGATATCGCAGAGGTCTTTGAACCATACAACCTACCCAAGCAAACCTTGGAAGACATTACACGCCACCTCTCAGAGTCACCCCGGCTCGTTGATTTTGTTATGCAATTCCGACACTGTGCTGAGGAACCTGCATCCTCCCGCGCATTCACTTCCGCTATTACCATTGCCCTCGGCTACTTCCTAGGTGGACTTCTGCCTTTGATTCCATACTTTTGTGTAGGTTCAGACCAAGTATACGAAGGCCTGTATATCTCGATCGGTGTAATGGTCATCGCCCTGTTCGTCTTCGGCTATGTAAAGACATGCGTGGTCGTAGGATGGGAGGGCGGTCGGAATATTCGAGCAGCTTGTTATGGAGGGGTTCAAATGGTCATTGTTGGAAGCGCTGCTGCTGCTGCTGCCATGGGTCTAGTCCGGGCGTTCAATGGCGAGGAAGGCGGGGTATGAAAACAAAACGGGGACCACTTATGACTTTGCTTTGATAAAGCGGCAGAGCCGTTGCCAAAAGGGATATGAGGGATAGGCGTTTGGGAAAGGTTGCTCTCGATAAAATGTCGATTGAGCGGCGGGTTCATTGCATAGCTAAAGCTCCGAGGGTAATGATAAATGTATTACTGCGGTTTAGTTTTGTATCAATTAGATACCCTTCACTTACTATATCTCTTCAATAACGGAAGAATCAAGCACAGTCAATGGCCGTCTCTTAGCAACTCAAAAAGGTACGTCTTGCTGCCCGAGCTAATTCGCCCATTTCCCAAGAGAACCGGCATTTGAGAATCAATCCGTCGATCAGCAACCCATAAAGTATATTTCTGGAGAATATATGCTGCTAAATAGGCCCGCTGACCGAGTGGAAGGAGGTTGTTGATTTTTGAACATGAAAGGGAAAAGTGTCGCGTGCTCGCCGACAACGGGAATTTCGGTTCAGAGGTGCGCTATTAAAAAGTATTTCCGTGAGCGTAGTTCACGCGTCTACCCACCTTACCTATCAGTAGGTAGGTCAAGAGGTGTTGCACATGGGCGACCTTGGCACGTCTGAAAAATAACTCATGATGATGGAAACCACAGACTAATATATTGAGGTTTCTAGCAGTACACTTGGTCGGTGGTGGTACAAATTGATGCGTTGTCAGCGACACCTGCAGGACCTCTCAAATAGATTTTGGACGAGGCTTTCACCTACCTAGGAGAATGAACGAATGAACATGGGTTTGGATTATTTCCTTGAATCAAATATCATAACAGCTCGATAAAACAGTATTCTTTTTGTGCCTACCTTAAGGTACCTTAAAGGGCCCAAATGACAGCAAACCTTTGGCTCAGCTCACATAACCGTACCCCCTCTCCCCCCACCTCCTTTTCCTTCTCCAAGCACTTGTTGTAGAAGCATTCTATTCATCACCCGCTGGATTTCTATTTGGCCAATATGGCTTCAATTTCTGCATCAGTCTCAGGATCTACTTCCTCGCGTCATCAGTAAGGTAGGTACAGTAAGTACTGTCTATCCACGTTCTGGGGCTGGTATCAAAAGACGTCAATCCCTTCCACTTCACCGAAAGCCTCCATTATAATAAAAGAGCAACTCAACGCCACAATACCTAGAGTATTTCCGAGTCCTTGCACCTTTCCGATCAGTTGAGAGTGTTCCATGACTTTGTTGCCAAAAACCTCCAACATCTAAATGCTATATCTACTTCATAATCCTGAACAGTCATGCCAGAAATCGGGCCCAGCTACGCCATCAGTAACTCGTGGAGAAGCAAGGTCGTATAGGTAGGTAAACACGCTTTCAGATCACTAGCTGACGTATCGATAGCTGAGGGATATCATGAAAAGGAATAAAATTCGTGTGGCACATTGTTTCCGAGTGGCTTCAGAAAGTTCTAAATCCGGGGTGTTCCTCAGTTCCTCAGCCCTCAATGTGGACTCGTGCCACCTATTTCCAAGGTATGTAAGGACCAGAATCACTACGTGACAAACAAGAAAGGAAGACGATATAACAATCAACAGAGTAAAATAGAACCTCCATATCTTTATTTCAAGTAAAGAAGGCAAAGAGGAGGGAATCTTAAAATGAGATAGAGATGGTGAAAGCCTACCTTACCGGCGGTTTGCTCGTGGTCTTATTCATGCGAGCTCCGAGGATTTCCAAGGATGGAGACTAGATACCGGAGAAGAGGAGAAAAACTCCAGGTTCTTTGATCGCGATGCTTCATGAATATCTCAAGTAGTCGAGAAAACAAACAGTTGCTGAAGGTAAGAGCTGGATATACAGCGGGGAAAATTAAACTGGTTTGCGCTTAATCATGTATATATATTTGGATAATGATTCGCTATCAAAAAAAAGAAAGCATTCAGCTTCATCTTTGATGGTCTAACGGTCATGATTTCCGCTTGTCACCTGATGGCAAAGCGCGGGAGATCGGGGTTCGACTCCCCGTCAGAGAGTCATCTCTTGAGTTCACGACCCCAAGCAATAGCTTGGAAACTCATCTTTTTCGCTCTTATTTTTTTTTTTGGCCCTCTATCATCTCGTTAGTGTTTTGAATTCTCACTTAATCACTTCCTTTGCTTTTGGGCTTTGTCTTTTTGGCGAGTTTGAGACGCATAAGCAAGCGGCAGTATTATCAGGGACCTCGAAAACCTGGGCTACATATGAGAACCTCACTTAGACTTAGACAACCCCAGATTATTTTATGTGAAGAGTCCTCAGGATGCGTGGATGTGAACGACAATATTAGAATACCGCTTGTCTACAATGTCTTATGACAATGTGCATCCGCTGTAAGAGCTCCAGCTATATCAACTCAAAAATCCAGACCCGGAACGCCAACATCTACTCTCATGGCTTAAGAAAAGTCCTCTCCCTTCTCCTCGATAGCATTCTTGATCCTCAGCAAGATCGTAGTCTTCCATTTGTCCAGCTTGCTGATCTGATCGTACTGGTACAGCTTATCCGCAAACGCTTCCTGGTCACCCGCCTCCACCGTCTCAGAGAGGTCAACCAACAGTTGATGTTCCCTTGTGCTAGTAAATGTTGGATCCATATCTCTGTATTTGTCAAGTGCTCGATTCGTCGCCACCATATCGCCAACAGCTAGGAGGCACAGTCCGGATTTTAGGAAGTATTCTTTTACTGAATACTTCATGAGGTTGTTGGTGACTGATGTTGCAGCGACTTTCTCAAAATGCTCGATAGATTTGTAGTAGTCGCCCTCGAGAGCCGAAAGGTCGGCGACCTTCAGATAGAGCTTATTTGCCAATCTAGTTCCCTCGTCAGCGGCCTGCCCAGCGTTGCAATGGTTTCAACATACGCCTCAGCATTGTCATTCTCGAACCAATTAGCAGCTAACTCATAACTCTCCATCGCCTTCTTCTGGTCGCCAACCTCTGTCTCATACAGCTCTGCCAAGTTCTGTTTATGTGTAGCGGCTCTCCGGAAATTCCCCTTTGCTGTGTAGTGGTTGATCGCGATGTCGAGACATCGTGCTGCGTCTAAAGGATCCGTCTTCCGGTAAACTTTGAAAGCTTCGGTGAGGGTATTGGCGGCATCATCGGGCTCATTCAATTTTTCTGTCTGGATAGAGGCGCATAGCTCGAATGCTTGACCGGCTTCTTTGTCTGTTGGGGACACCGTTAGAAATGTAGACCGATGGGGCAATGGAGATATACTTAGTTTTTGCAAGCGAAATGCATTTGCAGCTTGTGTGTATAGATCCGCTGCATTCTCCCATTTCTCTTGCCGTCCACCAAAGAAACTGAATCCGCTTCCAGCGCCAGCTGCCGCCTTGTCAGCCTTTCGAAGATGTTAGCTTATCAGGGTCTTGATAGAGGGGTAGGCTTGTTTGCATGCCTTTTGTAGAAGGGCGCGAGGATCTTGTGCCATGGTCACAGTCGTATGTTGGATTCCCAGATGAATGGGACAGTGTGCACAACAAATACTTCTTTATTTATGGCCAGTTATGTGTTGGTGCTAGGAACAAGTGTGGTGTGGAGCGGTTCCAGAGATGCTTCTGACGCAACTTCGCTCCCGCGGGAAGACGCGCTAGTGAGGCTGGAGCTCTTTGCATCGACTATACCTTGAGCCTTGCAACGAACCAGATTCCACCTGTGGGAGGCATGTAACGACCCTTATCGCAATTCAAATTAAACTGTGAGGCTTCTTGTTCCCGTCAATGAGATATTCTTAAAGATACCTGTGGGACTTCAGTTTTTATTGTCATAGTTGGTCTTGGCCTCGTGAGTCTCCGTCTCCGTCTCTCAAAGGACTACGACCCCTTCTAGAATTTCGATATACTTGCTAACCTGCACAGAACCAAGGAAAAGCCGTATTCAAGATGTCCAAGTCTCTATGCCTGCGCTGCCGCGCATCACTCAGACAATTACTCCACGCCCAGCAACGTTACCCAATTCCCTTAACCCGCGCATATAGCTCCACGCCTAAAGAACCGCTGGATATCGAGGCCCTCCTCTCCAAGCCTACCTGGTCCGTTCGATCCCTCCTCCCGGATCCCTCCATCCCCCCAACTCAGGAGATTACCCCAAAACAACTGCACCATCTGCTTCGTCTCTCCGCTCTCCCTCAACCCAAATCCCCCGAAGAAGAAGCCGAAATGCTTAAGGCCTTGCATTCACATTTACATTTCGTAAGGGATATACAGAGTGTGAATACAGAAGGTGTAGAGCCGTTGCAGAGTATTAGAGATGAGACAGAGGAGGGAATAAAAGAGGCTACTATTGGAATGGAAGATTTGAAGGAGGCGTTTGCAGCAGAGGAGACTATTGGAAGGAACAAGAGGCCTAGGAGGAAGAGAGATGAACCGGTTAACACCAAAGGTGTGGAGGATTGGGATGTATTGGGCACGGCATCGGACAAGGTCGAGACCCCCCTAGGAAAGTATTTCGTCGTGAGGAGTGGGAAAGAATGACATAATTGAGTCGAAATTAATTCCTGGCATTTCTCTATTGCTATCTCGGTCATTATCCCTTGGTATCTTTTTTGAGACGTAGTTTTTCTGTTGCTCTTTGCATCAGAGTCAGATCCGTCTTCCGCTTCACCTCCTTCTCCATATCGATTGCTTCGGCCTCTGGATTTACTTTCTCGTCCACCTTCTTTTCCTGTTCCCTTTTCTCCTCCTCGTCAAGCAAGGTGATGGTCTCCTCTTCTTTTGACGCCTCCACAAGATCAATATTCTCGAACCCTATTTTCCCGAGGATCGATCCGCAAAGATATTGATAGCGTAGGTGACCGCTAACGAGATCAGAGACGTTGACGTTCTCTATCCCCGGGACATCTCGGGCTTCTTGAAGGCCTGCAACCCCATACTGAATACTGCTAGTTCTGTATAGGAAGGCTAGAATATAGTCATTCTCTGAGTAGACATTGACAAGTCGCCCTGCTACTACACTTCTCATCGCTCTCCAGTGTGCAGCATCCGAAGGCGCTGGAGCCCCCATTAGAACGACAGATTCTACTAAGCCAAAAGCTCTGCGCTCTGCAAGACTCATTAGGCATGAGTAGATAAGACGAGCGCCTAAACTGTACCCTATTAGGGTCACAGGTCTTTCCCCTTGTGCTTTGTTGATTAGAGCATCTGCGAGGACCAGCCCAGCCTTATCTGCTCGATTTTTGGCGACACTGAATGGATTGTCAACAATCTTTGAGACTTTCAATAACGCAATAGGCCATAAAGCGTTCAGAAGACTGGAAAAGATTGTTCGAGCGATGATCTCCCTTTTAGCAACGGTCCAAGCAGCACTTTTGACCACGGCCTCCATGGAGGTGCCTAATTTTGATAGTGCTTCAAGTTCCCATCTCAGCGCAAATACCTCACTCTCGTGTCCGAGAACTCTCCACGGGTTGATAACATCTTCCTTCTGGGTGAGCCAACCACTAACGCCAATCGTAACTCTTAGTCGCCGATCTTGGGGCTGAGGTTCACGATGCTTCGACCCTCTCAAAGGGAGGAATGCGAAGTCCTGGACCTCCTTTGCGTAGGCATCCATCATCTTTCCTGTCATCCTCCCGCCATATGCCCCGAACAAGCTCCCTATAATGACACCACTCTCAGCAAGAGCCCCAAGCAGGCCTGCTGCCGCTGTTGCTCCTAAACCAAGGCCACCCATTACTGTTCCGATGGCAGCAGCGACAAGTGGGGCAGCAAGACCGCCAGTAATTCCAATGACAGCGGCACCAGCTACACTTGCAAGACCAACCTTCCACCTGTGCGCTACCTTATTTTCGTCACTTCGTTTCTCGGTCTCTTTATTCCCACTCATTTGTTTGGCTGCTTCAAGTAGGCTTTGTGCCACCTTCACTTCTTGCTCGGCAAGGATATGCAGCGGCAAATGGAGCGAGGTCGAAATGTGGAGGAGTAGGATTCGAGAGTGCGCGACATAATTTTCGAGGGACAAGAGGAGCAATAACATAGCATTAAGCAATAGCACTCTTCTGTCTTTCGGGAGAGAGCATAGTGGCGTAGATGTTGGGGGATATAGCTCGACCAATGCCGCATCCGCCTCTTCAATATTTGTGGTGGAACCTGTAGAAGCTTTATTAGCTGAAAACTGTAATTGAACTAGACAAGGCAATCAAAAAGGTAGATTGCTTACGAATGGTCTTGGGACGCGGGGGTGCAGTGTTCGGTGTTGCTTCAACGGAAGCCTTTTTCTTTTGTTTGTCTACAACCTCCTTCGGATTGTTCACCACGACTCCGACCCGCACAATTACAGATCCACGCCATTCATAAAAGAACTGAAGTGCCTCCCGCTTTAATTCTAGCATTTTAGGCGCTGATAATTCTTTCTCCCGCTTCTCCCGCAATTTTTGAGCCTTCTGCTCTTCCTCCGTCTCTTTGGTTGGCCCACTCGCATCAATATCAGAATTTTTGGTCTTGATCTGAGGGGTCTGCTGAGGTTGGGGTTTGGAGGTAATTGACGCATCAAACGTATCCTGGATCTGCTTCTCCATTACCTCTGCGATATTCGCAATGAGAAGGGTCAACTCGACGCATTCTTCAGGTGTCAGGATCTGACTGAGATCCTTTTCATGGGCTTTCGCGGACCCAGCCTCTGCCGTGGATGGAGCCATGGCTGCTGGAGGTTAATGGAGATGCAACGGAGTTGTAGGACCCCGATGACGTGTGGGAAGCGAAACGCGGTTGTCACGTGCCACATTGAATTTCACGAGTGACAGATCCTGAGTCCCTGGTGAAGATGAAATTCGTCCGTCCAAAACCAGCCTCAAATCGCGTTGAGCCTGGGCCCGAGTCTGCATCCCGATTTCAGATAGCAAGATCAGTATGCAGAGCCATTGTATGTCGAATGAACGGGTTATTCGAAAACCAAGTCTTCATGTCGCCGAAAAGGATAAGAGCAGAAAAGGGGGGGGGAAATAAAAGAAACCCTTTTCGAAGTACTAACAATGGCGACTTAATAAGGTCCAGTGGTGATGATTGCGAGTAACTGAACTCGTTGTAGTACCCTCACGCCGATCTTCCACACTCTATGAGATATCATACAGCATCAGGCTCTCCCACTGCTTCTCATCTTCTGCACTAGACTTCCATATTGGATGGGCTCATCAGTCCAAGAAAGGAGCAACTGGCCCTCCGATCCAGGAAACAGAAGCAACCTAACTTGAATTGAGGGGCCTCCCCGGTTCGGTCAGCAGATCGTGATCTTATGGGAGTCCCGCAAAGTAGCAAAACTAAGTTGGCACAAGAGTTTCCCTCTCTGCTTCATGTATCATCAGTTTTCTTTCTCCATATCATTGCCCTTCGTTGGGGTCGTATCATCAGACTTTCCAATGCCGGCCTTCGTTTCCTTCGACCAGAGACTGAGACTCGGCCACCAAGATTTTGACGGATTATCTGCCCTCAAAGCAGACTCTGTTGCAATTTTCCGACTAGCCGCTGCTTCAGCTTCCCTTAATGTTTGTACCTCCCCTGCTTCGGAATGACGAGCAACTTCTAGAGCCTTTCTGTATCGAGTTCAGTAAAATTCGAGGAGTTAATCCGCCAGAAAGCCTACTGTGCTTGCTCTTGTTTCTCCCGCTGCTGTTCTTTGAAAGCTGGGCCAAAAACCCATATTCCTGCACTATTTATTAGTCCTGGACCGATAACTACAGTTTTATGCCACATACCATTCCCAATGCCAAAGGCCGTGGCTAAGAAAAGTGGGAAGATTCCACGGATTTGGGACATGACCAACGTCGGCCGATAGACTCACAGAGCCCACGTAACAACTCTGACACTCTTCCAACAAGCTGGAGCATATACCGTAGGCTCCTTACCGTACAGTAGTCCTGTAAAGTAAGGTATGCAAAAAGTTGAAGCTCAGGCCGAGGTCGATAAGGCGTGTATAAATTGTAGCGCTACACGGGTAATGCAGTTGAATAAATTAGGTATTTAGCCGAATCGCGTCTACCACTCGAATAACGCGTCTGAACCTGAAGCGCAACAGCGGATTCTACAAACCGCGTCCTGAATCTATGGATCAGCCCGACATATAACGAGCATGCTCGCCGATACACATGGCATCTTGGAAGGAGAAAGGGGTGGTTCCAGACTCGGACGATGAAGAGGAGGGTCTGGATAGCCAAAGCATTACCGGTGGCTACGAAGGTGACAAGGAGCGGGATAAGGTTCTTCATGACCTTGATATCAATGAAGTGAGGGAGGTTCAGAATGATGGAAGGATTGATTACAAAAAGCCTCTGGCGGAGGACAACATTGCCTGCGAACAACCTACCACAAGCACGCCTTCGGAGGCGCTGGCTTCGAGACCAAACGATGACAGCCAGATTGACTCTCCTATTTCCTCCCCAGGTCCCCAACGGAGCTTCAAGGACCCCCGCACTCTTTTTGACCTCGGTGACGAAACAAGAAGTCAATCTCATCTGAAGACCCAAGCTTCGCCTCTTGATCCGCCCGCAGAGGACGAGATATCCACAAGCTATGTGCGCATCACTTCACCAACGTCAAGCCCCCTTTCCTCCGTTCCTGGAAGCCAGTTCTCTGAGGCCTCACAATTGGAAATATTTCAAGATCTACAAAGCCCCGGAAACCCCCCAATCCAGCGCACTTCAGCAACTACCGCAACTGAGACTCCCCCCCTGCAGGCATTTGAAGAGCCCGTCAACCGTATTGGACGTTCCCTCCGTCAAAGGAATCCCATTCAGCTCCACCCGTACATTGTGGAACAAGAAAAGTACCGCCAATTTTTGAGGGCACGTGGTATGACACCCATAAGACTTGCTCCGACCCCCGACGAGTACTCAAAGAGGTCTCGAGATGTATCTTCGCCAGAGTTAGAATCACAGGAGCTGGAAACGGAGGAGAGCCAACCCGCGGATATTGATCTGGACTCTATGCCATCGTCCTCAGCGCAAGTCCCAACGGATGAAAACGCTGGCGAACCTATTACCAAGGATGATGATGAGTTTCCTGACATTGACAAGTTATTTCAAGAGCGCCGACCCATCCAAAGTCGATTGCAGTCCAACCGCCGACAAAAGTCCAAATCCAAACATCCGCTGTCTAGAATCCAAACTCAGTCAGCCGAAACAGCAAACCGCCCAAGCACATCAAATAGCATATTTGATGTACCTGCCTCGCCACCTCCAACAAGTTCTCCATTACCAATCATCTCTCGAGGGAGTAGATCGGCATCTCGCGCTGTATCAATATCCTCCTTTTCGAGAGATCCATCGCCAAGTGGGCTTGAAGAAGATGGACTTGATTCTCAGAAGCCGACTAACCTTCTGACACCGGCGACGAGTGCTGTCAAGCCAATACTTGATCCTGTGTTGATCGATTCCGGCTCGGACGGCGAAGATCCATTTGCTACAGATCTGAGCTCCTCTCCATCCTCGTCAGATGAATCTGTCGAGATCCGCAAAATAAGTAGGAAAATTCGTGGTGTACTTCCAGCTTCGCACCTTAGGTTAGATCAACGTATCAAGAAGCCAAGAGCACCAAGTCGTACGCATAGAGAGTCTCAGAGTGCCTCGCCCGCCAAACAGCTAATGCGACGTGGAGTCGCTCTTCCAAAGCCAGCTAGAACTTCACAAAACCTGTTACCTTCTACCAACAATAGGTTACCGTTTCTTTCTGATGACTCAGATGAGGGCGAAAACGAAATCTACCAATCTGGCTTTATATATGATGATAGCAGCGCCGAGCTACAAGACCCTTTCGGAGAGGAACGTATGGGGCTTGCGGAAGAGGAGGATAAAATCGATGCTATGCTTCCACCCCGCAAACGCCATGGACGAGGCCCTGACGCTCGACCCAGAAAGAAGAGGCGGTCAGGATCCTCTTCATTGTTTCCAAAAGGAGGACAAATGCATCGACACCAATCAAAATTAACTGAGCACCTCATTAAGCCACGGAAGTCGCATACTTCAAAGGGTATCAGCAATCGATATGTTGGAAAAGCCTCTCGACAGAACATTTCTGGTGATCAGAAGAGCCCAGCGCCTCCTAGACTTGGGATATTGGACGTTATTGGTCAGGGGCAGAGAGACTTGCCGCAATTTATCAAGATCGCTGCCCGAACCGTAAAGCACAAAAAGGATCATGGAAGACAGAGTCCATCCAAGAAGTTCATCCGATTAGCCAATCGCGAGGATACGTCTGACGTCCATCTGGTATTGCAGGATTGGAAGGATGGAAAGATTGTTCCCAAAGACCTTGATCATCCCGTCAGAAAGGACCTGGAAATCTCCAGGAACCCCCTAAATCGAATTGCAGACAATCAGCAGACGATGTTACATACACCAATGGCTAAAATGAAGCATCGGGCCCAAATTCCACATCTAGACCAAAAGCACATTCGTAGGCCACGGAAGCTTGTCGTTTCAAAAAGGACACAGAAATCTCTCAATGACTTTGTGACTACGGAGCGACCCTCTCCCCACCAACGCGGCCAACATGCAACGGCCCAACTTGGGGCAAATATCATTCGAAAGCGCCAGTCGAGACCTCCCTTCGCATCACGCCAGTCGAGACCTGCACAGCTCGAGTTATCGGAGATGGAATATTCTCATCGACATCCCGCTACTGCTTTTGTGTCAAGGAAGAAAGCGCTCGATACTCTGTACAGAAATGCCCCAAAACGCCATGCCCCGCAATCAAATATTCAATTAAACCGTTTCCTTGCCGATGATGTTGCTGAGCCCTCGGCAGAGACTGGTTCCCTTCCTGAGGTTAGTGGAATTGGTGGCAATGATTCGGACTTTGCAAAAAGATTCCCAAGGTGCAGGAAGAGACCTCCACAACGCATAGATGTGGGCGCAGCAGTGTATCGTCAGCCCAGCGAGCCATTAATTCTGGAGTCTCTCGCCCTAACGCAAGCACAAGAAGCTATTGATGACAATAGACTTCAGGGGTTAGGCAAGTTTGGGACAAATTATACGACTCATTTCGACGTATTTCCTCTACAATCCGGTATATTCTTTCATGAAAGCACCTTTATTGGAAGTGGGCGTCTCTCGAAGGTTCTTAAGAGTCCTGGACCTGTCCCATCTGATGTCTTCCGGCCATATATATCCTGTCATCTGGGTGACAAGGAATTTCGATGGGGTCCGTGGAATGATGATGTCTCGTCCGATATTGGCGTATGCTTTGATTGGGTTCTCGACCAGCTCAATCTTCAATGCCCATCTCCTATCAGCTCGTCTGCACGAGGCGATGTAGTTGGGGCAGCAACACATGTTGTTGATTATGTGCAACACCACTTGAGTTTTGCTGATTTACAACACCGAAGTGTGTTTCTCTCCAGAATGATAGAGGTAGTGAGTGAGTTCTCGTCTCGGCTCGATTTGGGTGCAGATACTGCGAATCAAATGCAATTCCAATACAGAGTTGAAGTTATGTCAATATGGACGGTTCTTGTCATGCAACTTCTCCAGATTTCCCGAAACCAGATAAAGCAACCTTCAACAACTTCAAGGCTGGAAGGTCTTCTGATGGAAGTTTCACGCCATTGCGTTAGACTCCTTCTGCGCCAGGGCTTGGAGAATATTCGAGGGCTATATGATGATCTCCAGTATCTTTCCTTTCGTCAAAACGGGATCAAGAGAGACCGGTATGCTGCTCAGGCATGGGTAATCCTCATAAAGGTCTTGGGCACAGCGCGGATTCCCAGAGGGTCATTCTGGGACGTGGCAAACACGCATTTGCTGGACATCAATATGCCAAGCATGAACGACGCTCGGCTGATGGAAAAATTGTGGTATTCCATGTTTTCTCTACTTCCCTTGTGCGAATTCGATGAGTCTGGTGTTGTTATTCCGGGACAACGACAAGAGGCTTCTTTTGACAATTGGCTACTCCCCCAGAGGATGTTGAAGAGTGTGTTCACGTTGTACTTGTCGGGTTCCAGGCAGTCTCCGAGCTTCAACGACTATTGCAGGGCACTTGTCGGCCGCTGTCATTTTCTAATGCTTGAATGGGGCTGGTGGAAATGTAGTGGAATCATCGGTGTCCTATTTGATTTCTTTGCGTCTCAAAATCTAGGCCATTTACGCAATGAGGAGGCTTACAGATCACCCCATTTCTTGGAGGAGCTTGATAAGGACGTTTCTCTAGCGGTTGAACCTGAAGACCGTTGCTTCCATATTTTTCTGAAGATAGTTGCTCTTGGGGTCAAGCACATGCGTCAAGCAGGTGAGGGAAAGGGTATTCGAAATCTTGTTACTCGATTACTACCCAACCACGACCGACAATATCCCAAGGAAGAGGAGTTGGATACACGAGACCTTGCGTCCCTAAGGAATCACCACGACCTTTTGTGTACCCTCTATTGGGCCGCTCCGCCAGATCAACAACCTTCGCTGACCCTCATTCAAGAACTCGTTATTGCAAATCGTTCACATAATGCAGCGTGCATGATAAATTTAAGGGCATGGCAGCAACTGGCTCGTTTTGTATTGACACTGTCAACAGCCTCAGAAGCATTCCAACCGTTCATTCTCTGGCAGAACACATTCTTCTCTAAACTTCTGAATCAGTATCTCGAAGAAGATCCAGATGCCCGGAGACAGGCATCACTACTTGGTGGAGCACAGATTTCAGAGACTCGCCTACAGGAGACGATAGTCAAGAATAAAAGAAGCACAATGGCGTTGTTGCGCTCTAGTGTACATGCAACCAGCTACGCTGTCGGTTTTGCTACAAGCACCAATGCGGTCATGGCGGCTTTCAATACCAGTATGCCACAGAAAAAAAGACAAGAAAGTACTTGCTGACTCTCAATAGACATCATAAAGGGTATTTTAGATACGGAAGACTTTCGTCGTGATGATCTAGGCGAATGCCTCATTATGGACACCCTGGATACCTTGGGCTCCTACATGGATCGCATTCAGCAGTTGCACCCCCCTACGTCGTTTCCACTCCAATCCGCGCCTTGCTCCGCCGGAGATAGTCAGGGGAGTCTTGATATAGACATGGATGTAGATCGACAAATGATGATATATGTGAGTAAATTTTGGCGTTGTAGTTCCTCGCGGCATAAACATGCTAACCCAAATAGCCACTGTATGAAGAAATCCGGCCTCGCCTTTGCCAAATGGTCCGCCAGATATTGGAGTGCCGTCTCTACTCCGCCAAAGAGCCTAGGTTCATGAAGACTCTCATCGAGATCTGGGCTCGGATGGTATCCCTTATCACCGAGGAGTCCTCTGTAAGTCAGCCATAATCCTAATACCCTTGGTATTGCTAATAGAGATTAGGAATTGAAAACCTTCCTCCCAGGTGGCGAATGCGCAGTCTTTGTACGTCGCCGCGGATCTGAAAGAGCAAATAAGTACTGGCCATTATTCCTTGGCGAGCTGCTACACTATAAGACGATTGAAGATTTCGCAGTAAGTAGTACAAATACTACACATCCGACTTCTAGCTAACTTGGAGATAGGCTGCTGGATTTGACATAGGACTTGAATGGCTGCTGGCACTCACGATGCCCCTGTCAGAGCCGGCTTCTTTAACTCGTCTTACCTTGTCCATGTATGAGAAAAAGCATCCTCTGATCAAGCCGTTTAATGGGATAGAGGCGACGTTGCGTTCTCCATTATGTGCAGACGCCTGGTTGATTCGACATTTGGTCAAAGGTAAGCTCAGATAATACTCTCCCTAGATGGCCGTGAATGACACTTGTAGGCGCTATTGACTCGATGAGAGAGAGTTCGAAGGGACCGTCTCAGCTTAATGATGGTAATGCGAAATCCGGTAACAGGATTGCAAGGAGAGACTTCTCTTCCGTACTCAAGGAAGTCATGGATTCAATGCAACGTGAGCTCGAATTAATGACGCCTGGGTCGGTCCTCCATGAACAGTATGTAGGATTCTGTCAGGGTGTTGCCGAGGATATCCGATCTCGTGGAAGTGAAATTCTTCCTCTGACAAGTTTCTTTGTCCGATCTTCTGCCCATTACTGGCCAGAAGAAGGTGACCCCAAACTCTTTGCCGCTGGTATCATCTCCTACTCTCTTCGCCTTCGCGAGCAGCCTGGAAGAACGTCATCTGAATTGTTCCACTACTTATACAGAGGTTGGAGAAGCGATCTCATTAACGGCCGTCTCGAAAACCATGTTGTTTACGTTACTAAAGGCATGAAGCACTGGGCCTTCACCGAGTTCATACTCACGAATTTTGTTCCGGCTGCTCTTCATGCCGGCTTCAATTCGGAATTCGGTTGGATTCTTCCCTCCACGTATCTGCCCCCTCTCGCGGACCGCGCCTCCAGACTTCTCGAGAGGAACGACTCTGAGGCACAGGCCACTCTCGGATATCTGGCGAATATTTTAAAAATTATTATCAATGGCTTTGCCAAGCATTACTCCCTGTGGCAGACGACTATCAAAGGTATACATCCTTTAAATCGAGGCATCATGGCTGTTGCATGCCAATTCTGGCTTGCACTTGTCCCTGCTATCAAAGGATACGTCGAACGGCATGCAAATGGTGCTGTAATTATGGACGAGGTCAACGTTGCTCTCAATACCTTCTCTCAACAGACAGTTCGAGCATTCAGTAGCAGTTGTGAAGGAAGTTGTGAAGTAGCTACATTTGATGTTGCTGAAGGGCCGCATGTGAAGAATATCGTCAGCTTGATCATGGACGATCACAAGAATTGGAGCTTGGACCAAGCTATGGACACGGCGATGCTATCGGCCAGTGGTCGACTATCCATCGGCGGTTTTGGTGTCCAGGAAACCAAGAGGGCTGGCATTAACCTTGGACAGTTATGGGTCTGTACTCTGCGAGAAGTGTTGGAAATTGGACGACCACTCTTTGAGACTGGGCATCCATGTCCATTACCTGAGAATCTGCGAGACACTTCAACTGAGCCTTCTCGATCAGTCCCAGATCTCTTCTTCTGAGGTGGACATTTCTATGGTAGTAACAAGTCTTGGGGCCTGTGGGAATCTGTTCGAATTTTCAGAATAGCCTCTGAAGGAAGTAGATAGATAGGTATGGGTGATTTTCTCAACTGTGGTCTGAAGAACGTGACAGGTTTCATTGCCTTGTAGCACACATATTACACAGCATGTAATTACAACATGTAATATAATAATATGCTGGAAATTCATCCCTTCTTTTTCCATGCCCAATGGGATGACTAAAGCCTTCCCTGATCTTCCATTCTTCTCCTATGTACCTAGGCAAACTCCGTTATATATGGCTTAGTCAGCATGTGCGGACCTGGTCGGCCGCCGCAGAGCCTCCATCCTTTCAAATCGGCATCAACCACCAGAACCGACACTTGGGTATTCTGTGCTCCGACGCTCTTTCGTCTGAGCGCAAACCTCTCCCGAATGCATTCCATAGTATCCAGCGCTCTGCGTACGGCACTCAGACCAATCTCCAGACCCGCTTGTCGAATAGTAGCAGGGACACGACATCCACTCCCCCGTCGCAACTTCAACCGCTCAGCAATCTCATACGGGGTACCAGAGGACAATCGTGGGAGAGGATCAGAGAGAGAAAACGCAGCGCCAGACGTACCGGAACAAGAAGTTCAGGGAAATGTGGAGCAAGATGCGGCCGGCGCTTCGACTTCCCCGGCGGACATCGAGAGCTCGGGGGTTGCTAGGAAGGCGAGGCAGGGAAAATCTGGGTCGGGGCGATTAAGGGTGAATCGACAAAGGCAGCCTGAAGGACTTCCGCCAGTGGTTCTGCCGGATTGGTTCTGGGATAGAAATGTCAAGCGCGTCGAGGATCCTGCTCTCAGTGGAGCTCTTACTGTATTCGGGGCTGGTAGTTATCCTGAAGAAGATGGCACATTGAAGGCAGAAGCAGAACGTCAAAGTCTGGCCCTTGTTGAGTGTGGTTTACCTCCTCTAAAAGATGCGAAATACACACTACATGTGGACATCTACCAGGAAATATTATCCTCATTAAAGGCTGCATTGTCTTTACGGCCCCCACGTACTGGGAAGACCATTCAACGACCGGTCACTCTCTTGCAATGTCCGAAAGAAGGGGGGACATATTACCTGGATTCAATTGTGGAGACGATAGCGACCAAGCTTGGAGCAGATCTCGTACGCATGGACGCACAGGACATCGCGCAGATTGTCGGCCCTTACGTCGATGAGAATCTGGCCTGGACTGGCTCTCAGACATCCCTTCTAGGATACCAGACGCAGAAGATTGCTGGAAAACTGGATGCATATGACAAGGACTCTTCGGAAGAAGTTGAGGGGGAAGAGGATGAAGACGATATACCCAGCTTTTTGAAGAGAGGCAGGGCAGCCTTCCCAGACAAGGGGTCTAATCCGTCTGAATACCTTAGGAAAGGATTATCAGCTTTCTTACCAATAAAGTCTGGTTCATCAGCTAAAAAGGCATCTTCCGGACAACCAGTACTTGAGTTTTTCGGCATAGGGAGTGATCCAAGTTCCTCAGTACCTTTAAAGTCTGGGACAGATCAGTGGAACGACTTGAAGGTAGCAACTGCCTTGGATGCCCTGATAGGTGCTGCGGATTCCAAACGGCTTGCGTCCGCCGAACCAGAGAACCCGGAAACTCTCGACACAGACCCTCCAGCGAGGGACCTTATCATTCAACTCAAAGATTACAGGGAGCTGAGTGAAACTGAACAAGGACCCGAATTGATACGTACGCTTCGTTCTGTTATCAATAAGCGCTGGCATGAAGGGAGAAATATCATACTGGTTGGAACAAGTGCGAGTAGCGATGTTGGTCTTTCAAGACGCGAGATTCAGCATCTTCAATCTGATGTCGTTGATGGCGATAGGAGGACCATATTTGTACCTCCTGATCGCAGGGAAGAACAGGACGTTGCATTTGATGCCGACGAGAAAGCCCGCATTCGACAAATGAACATTCGCCATATTGAAGACATGATCATGAAGTTGAATGACGGAAATCCGAGTTCCCCTCTGGTCGTCGACATCGAGAAAAATCTGGAGAATCCAATAGCTTACTCTGCGGGTTTGGAAGATTCTGTATGGACGTACGCTCGTGTCCACCGACTTGCGACTACAATCCTTGGACTCGACACATCCCTGACACACATTGATGGATCTGTCTTCACCAAAGCCTGGAAGTTGCTCGCTGATAGTGACGAGGCCAAATTTTCTTGGGGTGGGGCAGAACTGAAGCAGGAAGACGAGGAGGTTGATGAGATGTTGGAAGATATGAACAAATCAACCAGTCAAATTACGAAGGACAAGATCAAACAAATCAAGAAGAACTGCACATCTTATGAGAAGCGATTACTCGGCGGAGTAATAATTCCATCTGATCTCCATACGACCTTCAACGACGTTCATGCTCCCAAAGAAACCGTTGAGGCTTTGAAGACCTTGACGACTTTATCGTTGATCCGTCCAGAAGCGTTCTCTTACGGTGTACTTGCCACAGACAAGATCCCCGGGTTGCTTCTCTACGGTCCCCCCGGAACCGGAAAGACCCTTCTTGCAAAAGCAGTGGCTAAAGAGTGTGGTACGACCATGCTCGAGGTCAGTGGGGCCGACGTGAACGACATGTATGTGGGCGAGGGTGAGAAGAACGTCAAAGCCATCTTCTCCCTGGCCAAGAAACTTAGCCCTTGCGTGGTATTCATCGACGAAGCTGACGCTATCTTCGCCACGCGTGGAGAATCTAAACGGGCTGGCTCTCACAGAGAGATAATCAACCAATTCCTCCGGGAGTGGGATGGCATGAACGATCTCTCGGCTTTCATCATGGTAGCCACGAACCGACCCTTCGACCTCGACGAAGCCGTCCTCCGCCGACTGCCACGCCGCCTCCTGGTCGACCTCCCTGTGGAAAAGGACCGAGAGACGATCCTCAAGATCCACCTCAAAGACGAGATCCTCGACGAATCCGTCTCCCTGGCCGAGCTCGCCAAGAACACCCCCTTCTATTCAGGCTCCGATCTCAAGAACGTCTCAGTCGCCGCCGCGCTGGCGTGCATCCGCGAGGAGAACGAGATGGCCGCCAAGCACACGGGCGATGAGCCGTACGTCTACCCCGAGAGGCGCCTCCTGACAAAAAAGCACTTCGACAAGGCGATGGAGGAGATCAGCGCCAGTATCAGCGAGGACATGAGCACGCTGGCGGCGATCCGCAAGTTCGACGAGAAGTACGGCGATCGCAAGGGTCGGAGGAAGAAGACCTCGGGTCTGGGCTTCGGTGGCACGACGGTCGAGGAGAAGGATTCGGAGGCCGGTAGGGTGAGGAAGATACAAGTGTAGTTTGTAGTTTGTCGCGGCGGGGGGAACTGTGGTGGAGTGGAGTAGATAGGCATAGTACACTATAGTGCACAATGCCTGTGTATATCAGATCAGATGTTTCGTGGACGAGGTGCTGCGTCGTGCTGGTCCTGTATGTATAGTTTCACTGTAATAATAGGATGAAGATAGATATGAACGAAGAAAATAGATATAAATAAAGATATCTATCTATCTATCGCAACGTCGCCCCTAGTCAACAACCTTACTCTTCTTTCTATTGTGCTCGGTCCCTCACTCTGGGTATTCACTCCTATTTACATGAAAACGCGGTTCTTGGATTGTCATATGAACTCAGATTATACATCATCATCTACCTTCCCAGCATACGATACGGTCAGTGTATATCTAAAAAAACAGGTTAAAATCTTACACAAGCCCCCGCTCTCGCAAGAGCCCCCCCGACCTCCCGTCTCAAATCCCAACCGTGGTAGACCACCAGGCTCGACGCCTTGAAATATAGCAAGTAAGCAAGCAGCTTCACTTCCGAGAATGGAATGTGTGGCCCCCTAACCCCCTAACCCCCCCACCAACAACGCCTTCAGTAAATATCAAAACCAACCCCGGAACTCCTGCCACTATAACTTAACGCTAGAAACCCCCAGAGAACCCGCCTCGTTTTAGAAATTAAAAGTTAAAGTCAAAGTTCGCCAGCTGTAGAAACGACTGGATTTCCCGACGTTTTCGGTCGTTCTCCTGCCTCAGAAGCTCCGTTGGATACAAATTTCGTCAACCTCAGTTTCTCATCAAACATAGAAACTAGCCTCTCCGAATACTGGTCAAGTAATCCGGTCAGAACTGTCTCACTGATCGTCTTGGATTTGAGACTTTTCTCCCCAAGCGCCACTGCAGTGAGCCGTAGCTCCTGATCTAGTTCTTTCAGTGCCTCATCTTTCACTGGCTCTGATGACAACAACTTCTTCCTATAAGCTCGTAATGTACGACAAGCCTGCTCGGTAGCCATATTGAGTGAGCCAAACTCACTAAAGTTTCCGGTGCTCTTCGTGCGTCCTCGGAATTCGAGCGTAGCAGAAGTTCGGCTCGTTTCCTTTGCCCTTGGACTTGGTGGAGGACTTCGAGATCGATTACGGAGGGAGCCTCGCCGTGATGAGGTGTCATCGGAAGTCGAGGCATAGTGCCTCGGGTTCACAGTCGGCATAGGCGGCATTAGAGTAGGCGATTGAGTAGACAGTCCATATCTAGATGTCTTCTTCCGGAGGACTCGTGGCGGGGAGCTTTGCCTATTGCTTGGTGTCGAGATTGGTGATGCCTTTTGGAACTCTGCCAATTCGGCTCTTGAAAGGACTCTTCTCAGAGGCGGTCTGGAGGATGCGACTTCCTTTGGAGGCGACGGCTCCCGGGTCAGGTCTGCTGGGTCTTGGGGCTCGGCAGGTCTTGCCGAAAGATCCCATATCATAATAGTACCATCTGATCCAGTACTGACCAGGAATTTTTGCTCCGAGTCTGAACTTTCCAAGAGCGCCACATCCGTTACAGAAGCTGTGTGGCCCCATTCACGATCCAGGAAGTTTCCAGTAATTCCATCATAAACCCTCACTGACTTATCAGTGCCGGATATACCAGCAAGTATTGTAGGTCTTGCCGGCACAGGACTGGGGGCACCCATAACAAGTGCGTCCAGAACAACTGAATCAGCTCCCTCGCTATCCGTCACCCGGAAGGAGTTCACAAGTCGACCGCTAGAGATCTCATACGTAGCGACCGTGCGGTCTAGTAAGGAGACCATGAAGCTACTCCTCTCACTATCTAAACAAGCTGTCATAGAGACCGGGGTCGCTTTCAACGTGATGATCCGGTTCGGCACTGCTCCCATGACATCCTCTCCACCAACCTCCTTTTTCACAAGTTGCCTTATGTGTATTGTGCGATCTGCAGAACAAGAGACCAGTTTCTTGCCGTTTTCAGCAAAGAAAAGACTGCAAACACTAGCTGAGTGATCCTCTAATGTTTGGATGAGAGTCCACTGCTCTGAGACTCGTCGAAATAGCTGAACAGTCCTGTCCCGTCCACACGAAGCGATCAGTGTGGTGTCATCACTTTCGAAGAGGGCAATATCCTGAATATCAGACATGTGTGCCCTAGCCTCGAAAGAACAAACCTGGGTGGATGGATTGATAATTCTCAAAACCCCACATTTGTCTCCAGTGACGATGAATGCCGCTCCTTTGGAGGCGCGAACAATTTGGCATTGGTTGACTAGGTCTTCATCGGCAGAAGAACTCTGCTCAACTTCGACCTGCAAGGACGCCTTGCTGCTGCCATCCAGGCCCCAGAAGACAACCGTTCCGTTGGCTGACCACGTATAAAAAGCAGCCTTCATTTCATTGTCCTGGGACAGGGACATTACGCCCAAGACCGAATCACCATGAGCCGGGAATGGTGTGTTCTGCATCTTAGGATCCGCAAGATCTGAGTCCGGACTTGATATTTTAATCGAATGTTTCGAGTCGATGGTGATCAAACACCTTGCAGAATATCCCATTGCACACAGGTGGCCACGGTCACTCTTCGGTGCGGAATCTCCAAGCGGAACCGGAGACTCCGGGGGAGTATTCGGCGTAAGGAGGTCCTCCAGACTCAGAGACTTCATTTCCCCATTTCGTCCTCCTATCCTGACTCGCCGAGTCTCGATATCGATCGCGATACATGTGACTGGGAATCCGGTGTTTGCAAGCTTCACAAGCCTTTGCCCTTCGCTATCATCTAGGAGGCAGACGTCTCCCTTTTCAGAACATACAACCGCCTTATGATCAGAGATTGCTGCCACAGTTGTGAAGGTAGCATCTACGAGCGGCCCGAGCAGCACATTTCGTCCAGCCAGAGCCTTAAGTGCTGGCGGAGTAGGTACAGGCTGTGGCGTGCCATCTAGTGCATACCTCTGTTTTGATGGCGATACGCTTCGATTATCTTCGACCCTCCAAATTTTGATATGCCGGGTGCCAATACTGGGGGAAATAAGTCATTTATGCAGAAAAGTGGTTCTATCGGATACTCACGTAACTATACTACTCCCCAGCCATATCATTTGCTTGATAGAACTCGTGCACTTGTTGCTGGATTGCATTTTTGCTGCACCGGTTCTCTGATTGATAGACCAAACGTAAAGAAAGCCATCACTTGGTACCCCTAAACTCGCAAGATATTTCTGATCCGGGCTGAAGGCAACCGCACGAACGCCATAGGTATGTTCGTTCAGGATCACCAAGGGAGTATCCGAGGAAGTGTCTTGTAAAGAGAAGAGAAGGACTCGGGGAGAATATCCAGTCTACAAAATCAATTAGCAGCTGAACCTGTTTTGCGTGCCCAATTCCCAGCACATACCTCACCCACAGCCAGGAATCTTCCGTCCCGACTAAGAGAAAGGCAAGTAGCTGCCTTGATCCTCTCCCGACTGGTCCATGTCTTCGAACTTGGAGAGTCCCCCCATTCGAGACTGGTATGTGGTGTAGATGGTGAGTAGGGCACCGCGGAATCCCTCAAGGTTGCTACGGCTCTGTTTCTGCCATCATTGGCAGTATTTGTAGGGGTAGCAGGGGCGCATGATGAAGTAGTGATGGTATTAAGCGGAATGGCAGTAGGGCGCGCCCTGAAAAACCGTTGGGAGAGATTAGATGTGTCGTCGATGTTGACGACCACGGCTGCTGCGCCAGCGGTGTAGGCAAATATTCGAGAAGAGAGGCAATCGAAGGCGGTCGGTGAAGAGACAGTGGTGCCTATAATTCGTTTGAGGGACAGGCCAGATTCGTAAAGACTGCGGGGTTTATATGGGGATCTAGGCGTGCGCGGATATGGAGAATTCGATGGGGTAAATTTGAGTCCAAGTCCTGTGTTCGCCGCGAAAGTCCTCGAGCTGGCGGGAGTTGACGACATAATGAGCCATGAGCATCCGGAGAAATCAGATCAAAAACCAAAGTCCCAGTTCAGTAGTGAGTAGTCGCAGCTCGAGAAGCGTCGTGGAAGAGAAATATGGACGTGGTGCCGTCTTGGTGGGATCAGGTTGGTCGAGGAAAACATGGGAGAGAAATGCTGTTTATCGTTAGTGAGGCTGGGGGGGTACAAAGGGACCGAAGAGACAAAGGGAACTCACAACGGCGGGGGGGTTGATGAAGTGGTGAACGAGTGACTGATGAAGGATCAAGGAGCGTCGGAAAGGAAAATGAAAGAAGAAAAGAAGAGGTCAGAGATCCAATATCACGGTCGATGGAAGGTTTGCAATGCCATGGAGAAGATGAAGATGAAGATGCAGCTCTTCGCTCTCCCTGGGCCAATGCGGCCCCCGACACGCCGATACGGGAAACGCGCGATGGCCTTGACGGTGCTCGGGTCGCCCCGTGGTCTGTGCACCCCCGCTAGACCTGTTGGGGAGGGTTGCCCCAGGGATTCACATCCTTTTTGTGAGATAAATCGTATAAATCAAGCAAATCATGTAAATCTGTAAATCATATAAATTATACAAATCTCCCTAATCACCAAGATGGTCTCTTCCCTGTCGGCGGCAAACTCAACCCTGATGTTCTACAAGGTACAGAGAGAGAAAGAGAGAGCGATATGGTTGTAGCCATATATTTATCTACCTATCTTACAGACTACCCCGCTGTCTCAGGTACCGCACCTTTCCTTAACAAGGTCAATGATTATATTATACACTTATACTTTTCTTTCTCGATTTTGCACGCCTTCCCCCCTCCCCTATCCATATCCATAAAGCTGGATATGACATCCATCAGGCAATAGCATAAAGCTCCTTCACAGTATCTTATCTGCAAAGCTATCTGGGTCAACACTGCCTTCGGAAGGTTGAGGCGCTCGTTTGGCAGTGGTGATGAGTGCGGGCAACCGAGCCGCAGCCTGTTGCTTCTTCTTCATCCACTCCGGCTTCCCATTCCCAATACCAAGCTCCCTCCATCTCCTTGGTGGTTTCTGGCCCATAGCAGCATGTTTGGCATAGATTTGCTTGCCTCGGTTGAACCACCGTCTCTGGCGATCCGACTCCTCCTCCGGATCAGGAGTCCACTTGGATTTCAGGATCCTTCGGATATCTTCTGGCGAGACTTTGAAGTTGGCGGCGAGAGCGCTCGTCGTGTACACTTCTGGCATCTGCGCGTGTAAGGCCCGGATTCCTGCTAGGGCGTCTGGAGACAAACGTCTTCGCGGGTTCCATCCATTCGGAAACTTCTCCTTCAGAGCCTGTTTGTATATCTGCCATGGTTCGCGAGGTGGGGGCTTCCAATCATCCTTGCTAGAGGACTTCGCTGAAGCTTTATCGTCTGAGGATCCGGAGTCAGGGCGATCTTCTGACGATGCATTCGTTGATGCTCTTGGAGAGCTATAATGTATTGCAAGGCCTGTATTTTGGACTTTGGTTCTTCTTATGGTTGTCCTCGACACGGGCTCACCCGCGGTGGTGGGTTCAGAGGGGGGTTCTGTCGAGGATGTCTCATAGGGTGTAGTGTCTTTGACAACTTCTGCCGCAATCGCGTCTATTGCCTCCGGGGATAGTTCGACCAAAGCGCTCTCCGGATCCTTCAGATTAACGCCCTTCTCCACTCGAAGACCTTCAGTCCATTGTTTCGATTGACTTTGTGGTTCTTCTGTCGCTGCAGCCGCTGGTTCAGGGGGTGTAGAATCAAGCCTGGCGGGAGTTGAGTGAAGCCCGCGGATTGATCGGGCTGGCGCGATTCTCCTGCCCGCAGCGCTCTGCGAAAACCCAGAGGCGCGTATTGCCGAAGGGAAAACCTCGACCTGTGTCAGGGTTCGTATAAACAACTTCAGAGTATTGGTAGTACAGAGACAAGGCATTGCAGCACCTGTTGTTGACCGGTGAGCTGTGGATGGAAGATTTGAAAAAGTCGAGGCTCTTGGAAAATTGCCGTGTTCGATTCTGCGATAGGCTGCGCGGACCCCCTTATCGAGAGCCCCTTAACACTATCTATCACGTGCCCAGCAACCCCCCTGCCACTGCATCTACAATGTCATGGCCAACCCCCTTCAGACGCAGCAATGAAAACACCAGGAATCTCTGGGGTTATTCGTTCCAATGGACTCCGCACCACTTGGCTCCCGAGCAGATGCATCCTCTGAAGTTCTCGTATGATGTATTAGGAGAAGAATGCCTGGATCGCCTGGACGAGATCTCGCCACCCACCTCGGGCGAGCTGCCTCGTAACCAGAGCCGGATTCCAAGCAAAGGAAACGGGGAGAGTGGACCAAAACGAGACTTGTACTCTATCTTGAAAGAGCACGCCTCAGAAGATGCTAAACTGGGAGAGCTATGGGAGGAGGTCAATACGATTCCGGCCTGGGTTGACTGGGACCAGATAGCACGGGGCCAGGATGTATTTTATAGGTATGGTGGAGCAGCGTTAACTGCTGTACGACCCATTCCCCTCGTTGCAGGACTCTAGAGCTGATATTTATTAACAGCTGGCGTACCAGTCCTTGCTCGGTGGCATGGGTGCTGCCCGGGTGACTGAGGTTCTGGCTCGCACCGGCGGCTTCTCTACCAAGGTTGCGAGGCACCGAATGTACGAGACGACACAGCACATTCTGCAGGTCACGCAGTCCCTCGAGTCTATCAAGCCGGGAGGAGCAGGCCACGCCTCGTCAGTCCGGGTCCGGCTCCTCCATGCCGCTGTCAGGAGGAGGATCATGAAGCTAGCAGCCGAACGACCCTCCTATTACTCCGTCCCTGACCTCGGGATCCCTATCAACGACCTAGACTGTAAGGCAACCATCAACACCTTCTCCTCAGCTCTCATCTGGGTCGGCCTCCCCCGGCAGGGGATCTTCCTGCGGCAACAAGAGATCTTAGACTACCTCGCTCTCTGGCGATTAGTAGCTTACTATCTCGGCACTCCCACGGCTGATTTTGAGACTCCCCAGCAAGCCAGGTATCTCATGGAGTCTCTCCTCGCCTCTGAGATCCGCCCAACAGAGACTTCGAAGATCCTAGCGAACAATATCATCCTGTCTCTTCAGGGGCAGCCCCCAGCCTACGCCTCTCGCGACTTCCTGACAGCAAGTGCTCGATGGCTCAACGGTAACGAGCTTGGAGACGCCCTGGGACTAGACCATCCGAGTCTTTATTACTGGGCGCTCGTCGCTGGACAGTGCGTCTTCTTCATGTGTCTCTGTTATACGTACCGCTCAATCCCCTATTTGGATCGGCGTAAGATAAAGGTTCGTCCCGCCTGCGTCTTTTAATCCCATCACGCATCTGACTTGATACCCATAGGCGCTGCGAAGGATCTTCTATCGTTTGATTATCGAGAATAAGGATTTTGGTCTAGGAGAGGAGACGAATTTTGACTTCAAGTATGTCCCGAATTATTCTACGATTACAGAGCTGGGGACGTATGAGGATTCTGGCTTGGCGAAGAGCGGGGTTGAGAGGAGGAATTTCAGGACTCTGATTATAGCGGGTGCATCTCTAGCAGTAGTGTTATACTTCTGGATGAAGGTCACATGGAGGGTGGTAGGTTTTCTCAAAGGTTTGTTGTTTCCCGGATGATAGGGTTTTGGAAAGTAATCGAATTGAATTCATGATCTTGAGGGCCTTCAGCAAGTGACGTCGACCCATCCTTATCAATATATCTATCTTAAAAATGACAACTTCTAGAAATTACCCTCTTGTGTAGAACGCCGGTACACCAATGCTTAATGCAGGGGCAGAACCCCACTTAGAATGCCATATGCCATGCCATGCCACAACGCCAAAACATGCTCCAAGAAGAACCCATACCCAATTCTACTGCTCCATCAACTCAACCGGTGGTCGTGACGTATGTGCAAAAATGGGCTTCTCCTGCTCAATCGGACTGATATCATTCCCGCCCGTCATGTCTTCTACCGCAATCGCTGGCAGATTCGGGCTATGGCCATGTTCTTCCGGATCGTATATCGTGGTGCTGCTCCCGCTCCTATGTCTCCCCTCTCCACCCCCGATGCTCGTGGGACTGGTTGGCGAATCCGCCGTCGGTCTATGGTGCAGCTTGGCCAGTGCCTCGGCGAGATCCTCCGGGTGAACCTGCTTGTTGGGCGCATCTTCCAACCTCATTTCCCAGCCGTGAGGCGGCGATGGAGGGGGCGAGATGAAGAATAGCTTGCCCGCGTCGGGCAGGTTGAGATGCTCATCTTTAGGTTCGATGGGGGTCGGTTGGCCGAAGTAGACTCTCACGATCTCGCCCATGATGGCTTCTCCATCGAGGATCTGTCGGATCCGGATGGCGGAGGCCTCGTCGAAGAAGGAGACTATGATGCGGCGGAAGGACTTGAGGGGTGCCCAGGCATGGATTGGAGCTGAGGAGTTGATGAGGTCTCTGATGGTCTGGAGGTTGTCGGGGCGGAAGATGGCGGCATCCTGGAGGTTTGTAATGAGGAGAGTATTTGAGGGAGGTGTTGGCATCGACAGAGGAGGGACATTTGAGAGATCTATCGACATGGTCTTGCGCGAATCTCTGGAGGTGGGGCGCGATGAGGGCGGTGAAGTCTTTGAGGACGACATCTGGATAGCTTCGATTTGGACAGAAGGCTCTGAAAAACTCGAATGTTTAAAGGTTGTATTCGTACTCAGAGGAAGAGGGAATTGATGATGAAGAGTGAGTTGAAGAGTGAATGCAGAGCTGGTTTGTTTGAATAAAAAGGGTTCCTTCGAGGCAGATAAAAGGGTAAACTGCAGAGATATGATGTCGGCCTAGCCGAAGGTACCAGGCACTCTGTGGCGAACGGGGCTGCGCAACTCAAGCTTTGTTAGGAGAAATATTGCCTTTTATTGCTAGAAGCTCGACCGCCCAACATAGCCACCCGCTTTATTGCGACTATTGGCTCGCGCCTCGATGGGTCAACTCCGCAAGGAAGTGCGCGGCTGCGGTGTCATCCGTGGAGGACTGACGGGATTGAGGAAGTAGTGGATACTTACTCCTGGTGTTCAGACGCTTTTTGTTAAGCCTCTTCCCCGGCACAGGAGACACGACTGACAAGGTCAACAAGCCCCTCCGCTGAGCCTCTGGTCAAGACGTAGACAAGCAAGACCCTTGATTGAGCCTTGGCGGATAGGTTATTTGATTAAGGTATCTGGCTAATGAACTCAGCTGCCCCTCATCTGGGAGTTTATGGATTGTTGAGGGCGCAGTAATGCCAGATGCTACCATACCAATGGCACTATGTCCAACAGTCATATTCCGTCGGCCTTCTGCTTGGCTTTCTCTTGAGTCTGGGTCTTGCTCCGCAACTTGACTTTGTGATATTGTCGTGGACTCCGCGCCCCCTTTTCTGTCCAGCCTCCAGCAAGGAGTCTTCCTCATGCCTTGCCTATCCCCAGCTTGCGTGGTAAACTGTTATCCATGGAATCCATGGAGCAGCGGCCTATGGCCCTTCAGCCTCCAATCCTCCCATCCCATCTTTCCTGAAGGGCAAGCCTTTGGAATCTGCTCTGCCACTTCTCTTCCTCTTCCAAGTTGCGCCCACGACAAGCCACAGATCCGTCATGTGCACGTGATCAGATAGACTCGCTTATTTGACGTTGCTGACGGCACATCCTCGGTCGACGCGAGATCTGCCTGATGGGCCTTCCTTACCTTAGTCACTTTTGCAGGTTCACCAGAACTTACGAGCATTCATTCAGCCTCCACGCTTTGCCCCCTCGAACAGCCGCAACATCTTTTCCCCTTCATACTCTTCACCCTCTCCACGCTTTTCGTACACTGAACCAGTCACCCCGGCGGATTGTATTCTGTCTTCTGTCTTCTTCGAGAACAATCCTGTGCTCCGCCGACCTAGTACGCGGCATCTCCTGGCAGAGCTCCTGATCGTTGCGCAGTTCACCCCCCGTTCTTATCTTCAAAATGGATTACGATCCTATGGTAATGGATGAGGCCCTTGGCCCATCTGTCAAGATCACAGAGGTAATCTTAGTTTGCTAAGCTATGCCTCATAGACCCCGAAGCTCATGCACATGATCATAGGCCGGCGCACAACACGTTGATTTCGAGTTGCAAAACGTCGACCTCGCCTTTGCGAACTCCCTGCGCAGAACGATGCTTGCCGAGATCCCAACAATGGCAATCGACCTGGTGGAAATAGAGGCGAATACGTCTGTGCTTGCTGACGAGTTCATCTGTCATCGACTCGGTCTGATCCCTTTGAACTCGAAGAATGTGGACGACGTGATCTACTCCCGCGACTGCGACTGCGACCAATATTGCGATCTCTGCAGCGTCACACTAACCCTGCATGCTCGGTGCACTGGCGATGAGATCATGAAGGTCTACGCTCGAGATCTGGTTGTAGATAATATGCGCGCAAATCAGTGGGTTGGAAACCCGGTCATCACGGATCCAGAGGGATTGGGGACTGTTATTTGCAAACTGAGAAAAGGCCAGGAGTTGCGGATGAAGTGCATTGCCAAGAAGGGTATCGCAAAGGAACATGCCAAATGGGCACCAACTGCTGCGGTGGGATTCGAATACGATCCTCACAACAAGCTGCGACACCTGGACCTTTGGTATGAGGAGGATCCCGCCAAAGAATGGTAAGTGATTGGTAAGCCTATTTGAGGAGGACTTTATTCTAATATTCCCAGGCCGAAGAGCAAATACGCAGAATGGGAAGAGCCGCCTCAAGAAGGCGAACCATTTGACTATGATGCTGTACCAGAGAGGTTCTATTTCGAGGTTGAAAGCATCGGGAATCTGGAGCCGGATGCAATAATCCAGCAGGGAATCAAAGTTCTTCAGCAGAAACTAGCTGCCGTGATTCAGGACCTGACTGAGAACGACGGACCAGCCAATGGTATCAATGGCGGCTATGATGCGCCGCGAAGCCCAGATGTCGGAATGAATGGCCAAGGATGGCAAGATCCGGGTTACACCACGCCCTATGGCAATGGTGGAAACGCGAGTGCGTGGGGTGCTGGAGCAGCTACGCCGTACGGAGCAACACCATATGGACAGAATGGTGCGGACGGATGGAGTTGAAACGTCGAAGAGATGCCCTCTCGATTATCACGCGCCGTCTGAATGGAAAGGCACTTCAGTATTGGCGGGCCTTTCGTTTAGGATGTCTACCTGGAAGGTAATTCTTAGTAATTCGAGGTTCCGCGGGAGGTGTCAAAGGGGTTCAGATGTATCACTATTTGCATAAAGACTTATGGCGTTGGAGGAAAAGCTCAGGCACAGGGGGGATTGACGGGCCAAAAATAAACCGTCGAGAATAATAAGATACCCTAAAAGGCAGAAACGCCGCAGTATGCTTCTACGTTCTAGTAAACTCCAACCCATATGTCCTCGAGAATAAGATGCAGCGCCTATGAACATAGTATAGTATATCATCAACTAAACCCCCCATCTCCAGGATCCCGAGTCCGTCTATGCTCTACGTCTATTGGTCTATGTTCGCTCATTCTATGACCGCTCTCGTTTTGCTTCTTCAAACCACATCATCCGGGGCACTTATGCCCTTCAGCTTTCGATAGATCTTCTTATGCTCTTCCAAGAACACGAACGTCGCAATCGTGTGCGGGCCCAAGCGGATGAAACTCGGCACCCACCCCCGGAACATCCACGCCACACCCTCGTGTTTATACACGTCCGCCAGGAGCTTCACCAGGCCTTTCGTCTCGTGTGAGCTCATGATGCGGGTCTTGATGACATCGACGGGGCTGCAGACAGTCGTGGCCACGAACCCTGCCAGGAAAGACGCCGAGAAGTGCGTCGTCAGCCCGTCCTCCAACGGTGTATGGTGCAGCAGGAGGCGCTTGAACTCGTCGTAGGAAGCAAGCTGCGAAGCCGTCATGAGCACGGCTCTCATGCTATTCGGCCACACGCCGCGGAAGAGCGATTTGAAGCCTTCCTCCCTCGACATGCGGATCAGGCCGTCGATTGCGTTTTTGTAATTCCGTCTCTTCTCCGGGGGGAGGGCGGCGTCGTGCTGCATCCGCACGTTCAACACGTCTGCCGGGTTTCCCGCTACGCCGCCTATGAAGCCGGACGTCGAAGCCATCGCGATCAGGGTCAGGAGACCCGGGCTAGAGGTCGAGGTGGTAAGTCGGGACTTGATCTCCTCGTAGATGCCGAAGCGCGTGGTTGAGTAAGTGATCTGCCGCAGCAGGGAGGCGCTGAGCCCGCGGTAGAGACCGACAATGCCATCGTGCTTGAAAACATGCGCGAAGGTGCCGATCATGGATGTAGGCGCATTGCCCGTACGAGTCTGCAGTCGGACCTAGGGAGGAGGCTTATCAGCGTGGGTTCTTTCTCTTGGGGATGATTTGCGTCTGCGAGGAGGGCAGGCCGGCTAGCTACCTACCTTTACTACAGCATTGTTAGCTCTTAGCTGTGGGAATTGATGCTGGAACCAAACTCACCAAGATCGAGAGGATGTGTTACGCAGGCGGCGAAACAGCTTGCGCTCCCGCCGAACCAGAATGGGTAGTGCACATGCTCCCTCTTGCGGGCTGGCGTCCGCGATTGCTCCTGGGCCTGGGCCGACGACATGATGGCAATTGGCCTCGTTAGAACATTCCGGATCGCTGGAGTCGCGACCGTGAAGGCGTAAAGGCGTGAAGCAAAGGGGGGGAGGCTGGTGGCAGGAAAAGTCCAATTCAACAGCAGCCCAGTTTTGAAACTTTCAGAGCGGCTCCGGGTCCAGTGATCCTGGGTTTAAGAAGGCCTTACCTCCGATGAGAGAGCTTCAACCTCCACCGACTATTACACTTCTACAAAAATGGTGGATACACCAATTGCACAAACAAAAATTCACTTGAAAGAGAGCTCCCTCACAGGATGTTTCCCAGTATAGTACCTATCTACCTATCTTCCCTGCAGAGAATGAGCGCGTATAGCCGTTCAGATCAAATTTCCTTCAAGTTCGCCGCACTACGGGTCATCGCGGCTGATTACATAAGGCACCTAATGCGAGGTACTACATCACGTGCATTTACCCGCCGTCTCCCGAGGCCCTGCTCCCGAAATCTGACTGTGCTTCTTTCTACTGGACGATCGGCAGTCGATCGGACCACTGGTGCCCGATCCCGGTACCCGCGATTCGGAAGAAAGGTCCGAGGAACCGAGAAATGGCTCACCGCCAAACCATTCCGGCATCGATCATCCACATGGTGCAGTTTACTGCAGTCACGCCGTGCTGCAGCTGCTTAGTAATCATCTTTTTGTTCTGCTTGCTGCGCTTTCTTCAGAGCCAAAGGAGGTCCAAAGCTCCCAACATGAGCTCTCTAACCAGGACGCCCCGATTATCCACGCGTGGTGGTAGGGCATTGGTCGCGCTCATCGGCTGGAGCAATGCGGCCTTGCGGAGTTGCAAGCCCTACTCCCAATGCAGATACAGCTCGACCGGTTTGTTAACAGTGCGCGAGCTGGAAGCTCTACTGACGTGGATTAGGAGCAAGCCCCTCTCCGCGCAGCGTCAGTATAGATGGCAAGTCGTATGATACAGATGAGTGGCATAACCTCACGCCGAACATCATCTCGTCGGCCTCGCGGCGCCTGCATATCCAAAAAGACCACCCCATCTCCATAACTCGAACTATCATCGAATCCAAATTCCCCGCCCCGACCTATCGATACCATAACACCTTCTTCCCCGTCGTCTCTACATACCAAAACTTTGATTCTCTGGGATTCCCAGCAGATCATCCCGGACGGAGTAAGACGGACACTTACTATGTCAACAAAGACACCGTTCTACGAACCCACACCAGTGCGCATCAAGCCGACGTATTCCGGAGGAACGAGAGCGAAGGCTTCCTCATCAGCGCGGATGTCTACCGTCGAGATGCAATTGACCGAAGCCATTACCCCATATTTCATCAGATGGAGGGAGCGCGAATGTGGGATCGAGAGAAGGTGCCCAATGGGGATATAGCCGCAGCTGTTTGGAAAGATCTGGAAAGCCTCCCTACACATACGATGACGGTTGAAGATCCAAACCCGCCCACCCATCCAGAACGGAACCCTCTGCAAGATGAACACTCTGCGGCGGAGGCAGAAGCGATTGCAGCACATCTCAAGCGGTCTCTGGAACTGGTCGTCGCAGAGATATTCTCCCGCGCGAAGACTGCGGCGATCGCCGCCAACCCGGATTTCGTGGATGAGCAACTTAAGGTCAGATGGGTCGAGGCGTATTTCCCATTTACCAGCCCATCCTGGGAGCTGGAGATCTTCTGGCAGGGAGATTGGCTGGAGGTTCTTGGGTGTGGTGTGGTGAAGCAGGATATCCTCACGAAGGCTGGTGTGCCATCACAACTGGGATGGGCCTTTGGAGTAGGCTTGGAACGTATTGCAATGCTTCTCTTTGAGATCCCTGACATCCGTCTCTTCTGGTCACAGGACGAGAGATTCCTGAGCCAGTTCAAAGGACTTTCAGATAACCTGAATAACCTGAAACGATTCGTGCCCTTCTCGAAGTACCCGGCCTGTTACAAGGATGTCGCGTTTTGGCTTCGCTCATCGTCATCGTCAGCTGGGGGTGGTGGGAGGGCCAATGCGCAAGACTTCCACGAGAACGATGTTATGGAGATTGTTCGGGATATCGGAGGCGATGTGGTCGAGGACGTGACTAAGGTGGACGAATTCACGCATCCCAAAACGGGGCGGAAAAGCCTCTGCTACCGAATCAACTATCGAAGTCTGGAGCGGACCCTGACGAACGAGGAAGCGAACGTGTTCCACGAACGGGTGAGGAACGCCCTGGTGGAGAAGCTGGGGGTCGAACTACGATGAGAAGAACCGAGGAAGATGGGAGATTGTTGGGATTGAGCCTCGAATCTGTACTATACGTGTGTATATTTCATGTCTCGACCAGGCATTTACTTGTACAATACAATACCCCGCGAGCCATACCACCATATCCTCAGCTCATGCATCCGTCACATCTCTTTCTTTCAAAGAGTCCCAAAGCCTCTTCCTGTGCATCTCGTAGACGGCTCAAGAGAGGCTAATGCGCACGCCAAGCAAGCCTGAGACATGTGTTTCTTTACTCCGTAGATGAGGATACGAGGGGACCTGTTCCAGCCCTCCAGCTCCGGTCTGTAGCTCGGCAGCGGGGCGTCACACGGGCGAGCGGCGGGGTACGGGGGGATGGAGGGATGGAGGGATGGAGGGAGGGGCAGCAAGGCGGGAGACGGATAAGAGGAGGAGGGGCGATAATCGGCAGGGAGCAGTCAGGTAAGGTGTAATTGGGAGAGAGGACGTTAGGAATTACTGTATTGTTACGGCGCAGACAGATCTGCAATTTACCTTGTTTACCTTGTCTACTTTGTTTTCTATCTGTTACTGTTATTCTGAAGGAAGAGAGGCGCTGCACTGCGCTGCTTACCGGGAGAAAGGGGGGGAGGGAGAGAGAGCAGCTGTAGCTTTCTTTCTTTCTTTGTCTCATTCATTCTGTATTTCCTTTCTTGCCTCATTGCCTCCTTTCCTTCTTACCTTCCTTCCTCCTCTCCCCTCCTCTCCTTTCTAATGGGCGGCACTGGATAGGGTGATATATATGGTCCCTCCTTATTAATGCTGTCTCTCGACTGGCACGAGAAACGGGCGGGCGGGGTTCAGGCCGTCCGCACACAACGTCATCCGTCCGTCCATCTGATATCAGCCTTGCTCGTTGCTACCCCGCCACAGCCCCCATACCCCATATCGCGTATGGTTTTTATTCGAGGTGGTGGTGCGTGTGGTTCTGTTGCTTGGTTCTGTTGCTCGGAGGGAGGACTTTCTTTCGTAGAACTGTAGATGGCAGATGACGAGAGAGGGTCCTGCGTCGCTGAGGTTGTGTGATCTAGGTAGAGGACCGAGTAGATGAATGAATGGAGAGGAGAAATGGAGGAATAGAGAAGGGAGTAGTTGGAGCCGAATGGGACCAAGGGTACCTTACAGAGTACATGCCTCTATCCCCAGAATAATATGTTGGATGCGTCTGCCGGTGCATAATCGAATTGTTACGTTTCCCCGACATGGGGACAGGGTACGATGTGCTGGTAGAAGATGGGATCCATGATAAGAAACCTTGTGATGGAATGAATACCTTCAGGTACCTTTACCTTGGAAAAGATTCGGTACCTTGAGGTGAGTGAAATGGACGGTAGACACGGTAGACACGGTAGATACGGTAGATACGGCAACATCCGGTAAATCCTCTGCGAAGCCCATCGTCTTCCACTCTCTCAACACAGTCAGATACAACAGCCATACCCGCGAAGACCGCCCCTCGTTCAAACCCCGAACTAAAGCCCCAACACCGAGAAAGTCGCCCTCGTTCGGATTGATGGATGGATACCTGATGGGACCAGATGGGACCAGATGCCCGCGGCGAGGGAGACCCCAGCCAACCACAGCCAGCGCCGCGGTCGCAGGCATTACACAACATCCTGGTGGGCCAGCGAGAGCCATAGCCGGGGTAAAGGGTCATAAATTCGCATCGAGGGCTCTGCGAATGGCTCCAGGACGCTCCCAAGAAAGACGCCTAGGACAACCCAGAGCCCCGTTTTACGGTACGCGGGACTATACAGCATAGTCCCAGAGCCAGACGTAATCGACCGGTGCTATAAGACCTTACCACACGGATAATACAAAAGGGTCAAGCAGGCCGCTACTCTACTCTCCTTGGTCTGTACGTATCAATCAGCCTTTCCACCCCTCACCCCCCTCCGTCTCTCCTACATCTACATCTGCATCTGCATCTTTTCTTCTGCTCTCCCCTCAATTCTTCTTCTTGCCCTCTCCTCTCCTCTCCTCTCCTCTCTCAACCTTCCTACCTGCCTCTAAGCGTCCTCCTGTTCACAGAGTGAGTTCCCGCATTCATCCTGCCATCCCGCCGCCACGGTTGTCAGACATCATCTACGCAATCCCCCTTTTTTTTCCGTCGGCTCTCTGCATTGATTGCCGTACCCTTTCTCTGGTGTTGGTCCCTGTAGCACCCGCCGGAGCTTGACGTGTGTTGACCTCGCCAGTAGAAAAAAGAACCCCGCTCCCCGCGAGAGCTCCTGGCAAACCAGACCCCCCAGATCGGCGACCTCGATCGGAATTCAAAAGGGCATAAAACCCCTCTCCACCCCCCCCCGAGACCCAGAGACCGCAAAGTTAGAAAGAGGGCACACTCGAGCAGAGATCTACGCAATCATGTCCGAAGGCGATGTCAAGCCCACTACCCATGTGGTCGCGGAGGCCCATGAGGTCGATACGTTCCGTGAGTCCGGCGTGGAGATTTGCCCGGAAATGCGCTCATGCTGACTGGTTGGATTTCTAGACCCGCCCCAGAAGATGTTCGCCAGTACTATAAGCCCCTCCCCTCTCCTACGCCGCAACGCTTCACGCGAAGTCGCGTGCCCGCTGTGTACCTCTTCGTAGACCCGGCAAACTAACCAGTTGTAACAGAACATCCAAGCAAGCCTCATTTGAGCGGTATGTCACCTGCCCGCTCGCGTCCCCCCCCCCCGCACTCCGCCTCTGCTCAAGACTGATCGTGCGTTCCTCTAGGCCTTGATGAATACCACAAGCTCTACAAGGAATCCATCACCCAGCCAAACAAGTTCTGGGCAGAGCGCGCGCGAGAGCTCCTGACCTGGTCCAGGGACTTCCAGACCGTCCACACCGGGACCCTGGCTGGCGGAGACAATGCGTGGTTCTTGGAGGGTCAGCTCAATGCCTCCTACAATTGCGTGGATCGCCATGCGATCAAGAATCCCGACAAGCCTGCGATTATCTACGAGGCCGACGACGCCGCTGATGGCCGCACCCTGACATACAGCGAGCTGCTGAGGGAGGTCTGCAAGGTTGCGCACGTACTCAAGCAGATGGGTGTGAAGAAGGGTGACACGGTTGCCATCTACATGCCCATGATTCCCGAGGCCCTCATCGCATTCCTGGCGTGCTCGCGCATCGGTGCCATCCACTCGGTCGTCTTCGCCGGCTTCTCCTGTGATTCCCTGCGCGACCGTGTTGTCGATGCTCGATCAAGGGTCATCATCACCACAGACGAGGGCAAGCGTGGAGGAAAGTTGATTGGGACCAAGAAGATCGTTGATGATGCTCTCAAGCAATGCCCTGCCGTCACCCACTGCTTGGTATACAAGCGCACCGGCGCCGACGTGCCGATGACCCAGGGCCGCGATTACTGGTGGCACGAGGAGGTTGCGAAGTGGCCTTCGTACATTGCGCCTGAGCCGATGAACTCGGAAGATCCCCTCTTCCTGCTCTACACCTCTGGTTCCACGGGGAAGCCCAAGGGTGTGATGCATTCCACCGCTGGCTACCTCCTCGGCGCAGCCATGACCGGGAAATATGTCTTCGACATCCACGACAGCGACAGGTTCTTCTGCGGTGGTGATGTCGGATGGATTACCGGGCACACATATGTTGTCTACGCTCCTCTGCTCCTCGGTGTCGCCACGGTTGTCTTCGAGGGTACTCCTGCCTACCCCAACTTCTCGCGGTACTGGGATGTCATTGATAAGCACGAGGTCACTCAATTCTACGTCGCTCCTACAGCCTTGAGGTTACTCAAGCGTGCCGGAGACGAGCACGTCAAGGCGCAGATGAAGCATCTCAGAGTCTTGGGTTCCGTCGGAGAGCCAATTGCGGCCGAGGTCTGGAAATGGTACTTTGAGGTTATTGGAAAGGAGGAGGCCCACGTTGTGGACGTAAGTAAACCCTGGATCTTGGAGTATATATCTCCACATTTGAAGAGAAGAGCTATTAGATACAAAAATGAAACAAATCAGGAAATAAAAGGAGGAGCAAATGCTAACAAATCTATTATAGACCTACTGGCAGACCGAGACCGGCTCTAATGTTATCACTCCTCTCGCTGGTGTCACTCCCACCAAGCCAGGCAGTGCTTCCCTTCCATTCTTTGGTATCGAGCCGGCTATCATCGACCCCGTCTCTGGTGAAGAAATTCTCGGTAACGATGTCGAGGGTGTGTTGGCCTTCAAGCAAGCATGGCCTAGCATGGCCCGCACAGTCTGGGGCGCACACAACAGGTATATGGACACGTACTTGAACGTCTACAAGGGATACTACGTGAGTCCAATCTTTCCACTTCTCATTTTGGGATTTTCTGTGCTGATGATTGGCAGTTCACCGGTGACGGAGCTGGACGTGATCACGAAGGCTACTACTGGATCCGAGGCCGTGTTGACGATGTTGTCAACGTCAGTGGACACCGCCTGTCCACCGCCGAGATCGAAGCCGCCTTGATCGAGCACAAGGCTGTGGCTGAGGCTGCCGTCGTTGGAATCAGCGATGAATTGACCGGACAAGCGGTCAACGCCTTCGTTGCGATCAAGGAGGGCAATGAGATCAACGAACTCCTGAAGAAGGATCTCATCCTGCAAGTCAGGAAGAGCATTGGGCCCTTCGCGGCGCCCAAGGCCATCTTTGTCGTCCCAGATCTGCCCAAGACACGAAGCGGCAAGATCATGCGGAGAATTCTGCGGAAGGTCCTCGCTGGCGAAGAAGACCAACTTGGTGATATTTCAACTGTGAGTTTTTTCAATGCCCCATCCGCTATGCCTCCTAGCAAGGCTGACGAGAGTGAATTTAGCTGTCGGATCCAACCGTCGTCGACAAGATTATCGCAATTGTTCATGAGTCTAGGAAGAAATAGTTAGCAGAAGATTAGCGTCGCAAAAGAAATCATTTTTTTTTTTAGCAAGGAGTCTCTTTCTCACTGTCGATCTGTCTCTTATCTTTGATGATGTTGATGTTGATGATGTACCGCACCGCTATTTATCATGTTATCTGTCTCTGCGTCTGCGGGAAGGGAAGGTTATAACATGTACTCCAAAATCCGCCATTGAAATCCTATTATCTTCTTTCAAGAAAGGTCGATTCCGGCACTTATCAGCTATAAGAAGCTTAGGAGGCTAAGCGTACGCAATTCTTTTCCTTCGTACGTGTAATCTTGTACCCGAGCCAAGAGGGCCAAGAGTGCCAAGTGACGTAGACTGTAGACTTTACGGTGTACACTATAGACTGTGGCAACCCAGACGAATAACAACAGCAGCTCGGGGGCCTCGGGAAAGAATCCATACAGAGATCCTCGTATTGTGTGTGTTTTTTCGACGGTAGAGGGCCGCTTACTCGACGCTGATGTTGAGCCAAGATATGCCTCGCGTTTCCGGGTGAACAGGGGTATAACTCTCTGTTGGTCTTTCGAAACGCTTTTCTGACACTGTTCATCCGTTCATCTATTCAAGCGTTCAATACCCAACAGCTGGTATTTATCTTGCCTCTCTTGATTATCGACATCTTTGATCGGTTTTTGTTGTTACTGGCCGAGTGCGTGCGTTCTTCTTTGTTGCTTTCGCTGCGCGCCGAGCCTTGTTATAATCTCCCCCGCCTAGCTCACGACTCGGATTACTGTAGCAGTGTAGATCCACACTTCACTTCGGACTCTCGCTCGAACGAGCACCGCGTACGCTGAACCTGTATATAAATATACGACAGTCACTCGTTCTACTTAATCTTGCCAGATAATCCCAGGAATTACTGGCTTTCTCTCGTTCCCATAGCCGTCGGGGTCCCGGATTTGTGCGAGGCTGCATGAGAGCCTGACGAGATTGGACTGAACGACGACGAGCTCGCGGCTGCATCACCACGAATGTGAGCCGGGTTTACTCGAATACTTCCCCGGCGAGTTGTGGAATATGTATATACTGAAGAGCATCGTCGCCGCCGTTGTCACCGCATGCCTCTTCACGACCTCACAAGGTAAGAAGATCAGAGGAGAGACTATATCATCATCCGCCTCGCTACCTTCTAACTGACATGCCTCCCAGCACATTCCAATGAGCGAAACCCATTGTCCTATGTGTCGATTGTGGACAATGCCCGCCTGAATAACCCCGCGCGCCGGGTGCATGCCTTCTCGAGCTTCGAGCTGACGTTCGACCTCCATGGCGGGGCGCAAACAGTGCGGCTGACGCTGTCGCCGAACCACGATGTCATCGCGGACGGAGCGACGGTGGAGCACCTCGCAGCGGACGGGTCGGTGCGGAGCGCGGAGCCGCTGGACAGACTGGACTACAGGGTCTTCAAGGGTCAGGCCTGGTTGCAACGTTACGAGGGCGCGGAGTGGACGCATGTGGGGTGGGTGAGAATCATGATCCACCGCGATGGAGAGAATCCGTTGTTCGAGGGCACGTTTAGAATTGATGGGGAGCACCATCATGTACAGACGAAGACGCACTTCCTGCAGACGAGGCACCCCTTGGACCCAGAGTTGGAACCCTCCGATGAGGAATACATGGTCGTGTGGAGGGACTCGGATATCATTTCAGGCTTCGGCGAGGATAGCGAAGGCTTGCTACACCATGAGCTGAGGAGGTCGGCTGAAGAAGAGCCTTCCTGTTCTGCTAATGTATTGTCCTTCAATACCCAGCCTGATCATCCGATTTACAGGGCGATGCTGAAACGGGACGAGGGTTTTTGGGGATCGATCTCGACTCGAACCATCTTTGGGAGGCAGATCGATGGAACGACTGCTGGAAACTCCGCCGGTGTGAACTTGGCTTCCACGATTGGTTCGACGGCCGGATGCCCAACCACCCGGAAGGTTGCTCTTGTCGGTGTGGCGACGGATTGCACTTACACGGCCGCCTTTAACTCTTCGGCATCGGCCCGGGCCAACATTATCTCTGTTATCAACTCGGCTTCGGTACAGTTCGAGGACAGCTTCAACATCACATTGGGCCTCCAGAATCTCACCATCAGCGACGCCGCCTGCCCGGCTACTGCTGCATCGTCTGCCCCTTGGAATGTAGGCTGCAGTAACAATGTTACCATTCAAGATCGACTTAACCTCTTCTCTGCGTGGCGTGGCCAGCGGCTCGACACCAATGCTTACTGGACTCTCATGAGCACGTGCCCTACCGAGTCTGCCGTTGGGCTAGCTTGGCTGGGACAGCTGTGCCAAGTAGCCTCATCTACCAACGCCAACGAGACTGTCAGCGGCACGAATGTAGTTGTCAGAACGAGCACCGAGTGGCAAGTCTTTGCACACGAGACTGGACATCTCCTAGGTTCACAGCATGATTGTACCTCAGAGACTTGTTCCGATGGCCACACTGTTGCAGCCCAACAATGCTGCCCCTTCAGCACTACAACCTGCGATGCTGGCGGACAGTTTATCATGAATCCCACGGCACGTAACGTACAGAAGTTTTCCCCTTGCACTATTGGGAACGTCTGTTCTGCTATGGGCCGGAATAGCGTCAAGACGAGCTGTCTTGTCGCGAATAAGGATGTCAGCACGATCAGCGGCAGCCAATGTGGAAATGGAATCGTCGAGGCCGGCGAGGACTGTGATTGTGGCGGGGCCAGTAGTTGCGGGGATAACCCGTGCTGCGACCCAACCACGTGCAAATTCACGACGAACTCTGTCTGCGACCCCAGCAATGAGGATTGCTGTACATCGAGTTGCCAATTCGCTTCAAATGGCACCGTTTGCCGTCCGAGTACAGGAGCATGCGATCCTCAGGAGGTGTGCAGTGGTACCGCTGCCACTTGCCCAGCTGACAAGACTGCACCTGATGGTAAGTCCTCCAACTCTCTACCCCCAAATGCCTCCTTGCTAAAAGATCCTAGGAACATCGTGTGGCGATTCCAGCTCGCTGTCATGTGCATCAGGGCAGTGCACTTCGCGTGATTCTCAATGCAAAGCCATTATGGGTTCCAACACCCAAGGAAACGACACCTACGCCTGTTCATCCTCGGGCTGTCAGATCTCCTGCGCCTCCCCGGAATTTGGCCCCAACGTCTGCTATTCCATGCAGCAGAACTTCCTCGATGGGACGCCCTGCCAAGGGGGAGGGCGGTGTCAGAATGGGCAATGCACAGGTTCAAGTGTCGGCAAAGAGATCAAGAGCTGGGTTGACGATCATAAGACACTGGTCATTGCTCTGGCATCCGTCCTTGGAGGACTCTTCATACTTGGCATCCTATCATGTTGCTGGAGTCGATACAGAAGGCGGCAACGCGTGGGGAGACGCCCTCCGCCAGTCGTCGTCCCTCCTCCCTCGGGCTGGGCTGGGAACTGGATGCCTCCCCCACAGATGGCAGGGGGGAGGGGCTATCAAGCCCCCAACAATGGCTACTCAAATGTCGCTAATAACTACTGGCAAAATGGGCAGGGGCCGTGGCAGCAACCGCAACCGCCACAGCAGGCCTGGAAGCCGGGCCCAAGCGTCAGATATGCGTAATGACAGTATTGGGATTTGGGTTTTGATTCAGGCGTTGGGGGTTTTTCTTGAGAAGCATAGGGCATGTCTGGGATACGGGATTGCATCAGAATTGGTTTGGATTGGATAGATGGAAGTTCCGTTCTGGTACGCATTAGTGGGAGCTGTACAGTTGACCATCTAGTGTTTAGTCGCAACATACTTATCTTACTATGTATCTGTCGTTGCATCACCAAGTAATTCTTTCGTCCAATACTTGGATTCCTCCTACTAGATGCTACATCTGCATCTAGAAGACCTTACGCAAATCCCTCCCAAACTCCATCATCACGATCAAGAAGAAACCCCCACTTCCCTCTCACACAAAATCTAAGCGTCCAAACCAAACCACTCTACCCCAGCCCCTTCCCCTTTCCTCCCTTCCTCGTCCTCTCCCTTTCCTCTTCCCTCTCTTCCTCATCCAGGAACCCGCACAGCTGCTTCGTGAAATAGTGGCGCGTCCCAGGAATACTCTGTTTGCGTCTCAGCCAGCGTCCCCATCTATATCGCGATCATGTGATCTTGAAGTTGAAGTTGAAGTTGAAGATGAGGGGGAGGCAAAAGGGGGGTTGCGTGAAGAAAAAGAAGGAGAAAAACGTACATCATTCCGAGCCTGCGCATGCATCATCAATAACTCGGGACTGTCGAGGATAATAGCCGCTTCGCGGCGCTTGGTTATGTTCTCGTAGGTATCGTTGCCGTATCTGATATTTATCTATGCATTAGTCTCCTCATCTGATATATATAATTCCCGAGGTTTATATATGATATATCCTTTCTTTCTTTCTTTCTTGCAAATGATGGGCATGGGGGGAGAAAAAAACTCACGCATCGTATCTCCTCCCGCTGCCGCTGCCGACCCCGCCCTCACTAGACGACGACGCATAAGGGTCCTTGTTCCGCGCCTGCGCGTCTTGCATGCGTGGTGTGAAGAGGGGCGGGGAGTGGGGTGGGCGTGCGGATGACGGTTTGGATGGCTTGCTCTTGCTGCTGGATTTGTGGCTCTGGGGCGTGGATGAGGCGGAAGACATTTTTTTGGTTTTTTTTTGATTTGGGAGTTGGTGATGGTGGTGGATGTTGATGTGGTGGTGGGGTAGAGTATGGGGGTAGATAGGATGGATAGATGAGGTGAGGAGGGGTTTCGGGTAATAGGGGGAGTAACGTTGGTATCTGGTATGATATAAGAGCTTAACGCAGACAGATATATATACCATACATAGGTACCTTAGGTACCTACAAATATATACACATTCTTAACCCTACAATAACTTGTCCATTACAATCTTTGCCGTTCCTCTTGATTAGCCGAATCATCCTCGCTTGTGTCTCTGTATCATCAACTCTAATCAAACCTCCCGCACTTAACCTTAGCTGTACCTATCCACAACCTCTAGACATGCAAATCTGTCAAGATACCAACCATCTCATTACTTATTCAACTTGCATGTCTATAGTCTTGTCTACCTAGATATAGGCCCATCACGCTAGGTCGCGATAGCAGACATGCCGTACCGGTCAAAACAAGTGTGGGAGCATGGCCAAGACCACGGGAACATACGCTGCCTAAAAAAGCAGTACATACTCGAATGAACCGCGATGCTTAGTGCCTTATACCGATAGTGTCGGGTGGGGGAAGAAGAGCTGGTGGTATTCTTGCTGTTTGCCTGCCCTTGCGCATCCCGGAGGCTGTCCAGCGAATTACTATGTTTCGTTCCTGTTCGTTTCTGTTTGACGCTGACTCTTTGTTCTACCTCGTTCCACGTACGCGCTATTAGCAGTGTGTTTTGTGCCTTTTTGCACGGGCGGCTATCGAATGGGCGGGTCGTGGCACCGTATCGTCTCCGCGAAGGAAGCGTTGCTGAGTTGAATATGCTACAAAACCTAGGGGGCCTCGGAGAGTCAGTACTCATCTGTGATCTCTCTCGGCATGCTTGGCTTCCTACCTCATGATTCGATGCATATACCGTCAGAGGAAGGTTGCGGGTTCATGTAGCACAGTGGGCTGGTAATTTATGGACATCATCAAGAAGCTTTCGAAGTTGGGCCATGTGTGATTCGTGTATGAGTCCCGCCGAATTGCAGTCTGATGATAAGCCTGCCAATTGCCCTTAGCTTCTGTTTTGTTTTGATGGGATTCCTTTCTAGGCCAGGGCTGATGAAGACCACAGCCGCCGCGCTTTTGGGCGTGTCTCCTAACTAGCTACCGTATGCTTACAAGGTTGTCTCATTACTCCGCGTCGCTCTTAGATATGGCTTTGGAATATGTCGCTGCTTTGCCCATATGACCAACTTCCAGCATCATCTCGTCCTGCGATGGATTAACCTCTCCTCGACTTCTGGAGGATTTACCTGTAGCGAATGGCCAGGCGTCTGCTGTAAACCGAGATATGTATTCCCACAAGCGGCTTCGAGAATTCCATAGGCCCAATGTTCACGATATGCCTCGGATTCTTCATCAGACCTCGACCATGTCGAGTGATCTGAGTATTATTGAATTATGCCCGACTCCCAGGACACCCTTTCAGTTTCGAATCCTGGTATTATCGTATTTCTCAATGGTGCTGATTGTTGTTCTTTGCCACCAGTTCCAATTTATACCGAGTCCTCGCGTTGTATAGTGCGGTCAAGGCATTGAACGGTTTTGAGATTGTCACAGGCAACCAGCTAAATAAGGTAATTAGTGAAATCCTCGGCATTGCCTGCTGTGTATTAGTTATTGAATACCACTCGTTTGGTTGTTGCCCTTGGAAGGAATAATGTATCGATCCCTTTCTACAATTCTTAGCGATGAATTAAAACACCTCTTTTAAAACACAACTGCTTTGCTACCAGTGATAATCGGAAAGATATTCCTGCTCGCCTGCTGCTTTTTGCGGTACAAGAGGCCCAATACAGTGGACGTTACGAGACTGAATTTCCTTCCCCTATCTTTGCTCTATCACTCAGCGGCTTCTTTCCACTGCAGAGAAGACCGATCTGCGCTACACAATATTTGCACAGACTGCAGCCCTAAAGACACCGAATCCCAGGTATCTCTCACTCCTTGGTATCTTGCCCGTTCGCTTCCTTGATCTTTTTCTCATAACATACCAAAAGATCGTCTGGACATTGAGTATCGATCTGCTCAACACTAATGTTATCCTTCAAATAGTTGACAAAAGCGACTGATATCAAGATTACTGCACGTTTTAATTCAACTTCCAACTGCATTAAGCTATTCACCCCGGACGGAGCAACGAAAACCCAGGTCTTCTAGTACCTCAAAAGGTCTCTTCGAAAGCTCGCAAGATACTATAACAAATATCGGTCAATTCGTCGCGCTTTATCCGATGTCTAGTCCTCTTCTGGGGCACCGCCCTCCACGGGTCGTGGTGACGAATAGTATGCTATATGCATATAATGCTATGCGTGGCAATAGTGACAAACAAAATCCCAATCATGGTCCTCTCCATGACGCCCTTTACTTGGATCTTAGAAGCGTCTCAGGCTTAGAGGCTGAGGGCCAAATCTACCTGCCAAAGATGTCCTGGTCGGAGTACATTCAAAGAGGGTGAGTTGTTACCATTTATATACTTGCTTGCGATTCTAAAACCTGCCTGATCAGAATTTCCAACCAGCAAACTTTCTTCTGGGATCCTTCTTCCCCGGCTACTATGCCGACAGCACAGCAAAGGGAATCCGAAGCATCGGGAGACTATAACCAGCCGCAGAGCCCAAGGCAGCACCCGCTGATATTCGACAGACACATAGAACAGAACCCGCCACGATCCAACCCAAACCACTATAGTGGAGAGCAGGGCTTTGCGAACTATGGCTATATCTTGATCAATGGCCAATGGGTGGATCCTGACAGTGAAGGAAAAATATTTGATGCATTCAACAGCCATGCAGATTCTTCCCAGTTCCAAAACGCTCCGATAGAGATATCAGCTCCATATTCCATGACGCAAGACCAAATGAACGCCCTTTACAAAGAACTATTCTGTGACGTACCGGATCCAGGATCTCCATACGGGGATCTCATATTCACAGGAGACTTTGGAGATTTTGAGGGAGACCCTCGTGCTCTGTACATATCACCGGCTACCTTTGCTCGCTGGGCTGCTGGTGTCAGCCGAGGGGATAGCTATGTGAGAACAAAGGTGGAAATAAAAGTAAGTGACCCTGAAATTTCCCAGATGAAGGACTTTCTTTATAGTTCTGTCCAATCTCACCAATTTCCTGCTGGTTTCGAGTGTTATTGCTAACTTGACAAATAGGATGAACCTTTGAGCCGCCGACGTCGCTCTAAGACTATCACAATGCCTCCCAAAATATATCGACAGCCACAATTCGATATCGAAACGGGATCTGTACTTTCCGGCATCTACGAAGAACCAGAACCCAGCTTGATTTACAGTGCTCGAGGTTTGTTCCTTCTATTTCCAAATGAGGTTCGCATTCTGATAACCCGCCTAGGAGTTGATCTGGTCAAACGTCCTTTAGAATTTGCAAGGAGCTACCCACGAGATAATCTTGAACTCGATCGAGCAGCTTTGTATTCTCCTGAATATATAGCGCAAAGTATAGAACATGTACGCCAGTGGCTTTCTTCAAGCATTGCTTCAACACCGCAGGTTTTCAATTCTGTCAGTATCTAGCCTTTCCTTGTTCCTATCATATTGCTTACTTTCTCAACTAGGAAGGAGTCTGCGATGACCTTGCCAGCCTGGATGATCCTCAAAGCGGACAGGTCAGATACGATCAGAAGAGGGAGCACCTCAGTCTTCTTCACCAAAAGCATCAGGAGGGTCTTTCACTGAATCGTCAAAAGTACATTCATACAAATAAATACCAGGAAAAATACGTACAGCTACATAGGGAGGTCTTCTTCATGAATCTGAAACTTGAAGAGCAAGAACACACAGGAGCACAACCACCTCTGCCAAAACCTAGGCTAGTTCTAACGGGAGTCAATACATCTCCATCAGAAGCCAATCCTCCTCCATTAAGGAAGTCTGCACAGCGGCAAGCACGACGCACTCAGTACAAAAGATATTTTGATGAACTCGAAGAGCGGCAACAAATCGGTATCGCGAGGACACGACTCACTAACCAAAGACTGGATCAGGATATGTTGACAATGCAGGAAGGCATGGGTGAGTTGCTCCAGATACATGAGAAGCTCCTTCAGTTACATGGTGTGGAGAACGTGGATGAGATTATCAACCTCTGCCCTGAAAGAAAAGAAATCCAGACTTAGGGACAGCATTCCTCGGAGAGCGGCGAGAGGGCCCCGTGTCTAAGATGCCTAATCACAGCTTTCGTTCAAGAGGTTATCGCTGATGGTTTTACTTTTGATTCTTTAGCTAGCAAAGTAGTCAGTCTGCTTTTGATGAATGCAGGCTGGACATTGCTGGAATTACACAACCGCCGTTGCCCTCTGGCTATAATTCAATTGGTTTAGGGGCTTGGTTTCTCCACAATATCGATGGGATATCATAAGTCGCTCGGTAGAGGTTAGGCCGGATGCGAATTGTACATTAGATTTCGAGGCTCGATAAGCCCTAGTTGTGCCCTACAAGATACCATGGCAATTGTATACATCCCGCGCAACCGCTATGAGAGGAGCAATGATATGATATCTACACACATCCAACGCCGCGTCCCTAACCACGACCCAGATTTATACTCGTACATTTACATAACCAGACGTCCAAGAGACCTAGTTGTTCTTCACAACACCAACCTTGGCTGCTCTCAAGATCCTGCCGTTGAGCTTGAAGCCCTTCTGCTGTGTGTGGAATACCGTGTTATCCTCTTTACCCTCCATAGGCGTCATGAATGTTGCTTCGTGCTCGTTGGGGTTGAACTTCTCGCCCTCAACACTGGGGTCAAATCTCTCCAGCCCATGCTTCTTCAACGTGGACATCAGGATCGTCTCGGTCATCCGAAGCCCATCATAGAGAGCAATCAAGTCCCGATTCTCCTCTTTGTCCTTCGCGTTCAGCTTCTCTGCCGGCACCGTCCCCAATGCTCGGTCCAGGTTGTCAACGGTGTCGACCAGGTCCTTTGCGAATTTCTGGATAGCGAAGTCCTTCGCCGCCTGCATATCACGCTTCGTCCGCTCCTGAAGGTTTCTGAAGTCTGCTACTGAGCGCAGATATCTGTCCTATAAAAAATCTTATGTTAGATGGTGCTGATCTCAATATCAGGGTCGGGGTAGGCAGCAGGAGACAAACCTTGAGCTCAATAATCTCCTTGTTTTTCGCCTCCAGCTCCTTCGCTGAATCCTCGGCTCCAGCCTCGGCCTCCTTCCCCTTCCCTTCCGGAGCAGCGGCTTCATCTTTTGCTGCCTCCTTCGACTCGGGTTCTGTAGCGTACCATCTTGAAGCTATGAGCGGCTTCGACGCTGGCGCAAATGCTGCTCTGAATTGGGGTCTGATCAACGAGGAGGCACGGGATGTAGAGGGTTTGCATGAGGTCAATGACCGGGAACTTCGGAGTAATGTTCTTTGGATCATGGCGGGTATTATGGTGTGGGATTTGTGAGATGTCGCGTGTCTGATGAAGAGAGTGTAGTTAATGCGAGCCCCAATATCGCTTGGTGAAGGTCGGATCAAATAAATTTTTAGCGTCCGTACACCGGCCATGGCAGAACAGTTAATCCGCAGATGGATTGCGCATGCTCGCTTAGCCCTTTACCCCTTTCTTTAGCGACAGGGTGGGAAGTGTTGTGCTTCATGTTGTCTTGGCTTGGACTCCTTATCCAGCACATAGTGTCATAGTGTCTATGTTGAGATATTTCCCTGGTATCTTCCTAGGCTAACAGACAAGTTGAAAGGTCTATTTTGAACACATCAACTCTGGTCAGAGTCTGGGACTTGGGCTCTCTCTGATTATCGAAGACCGTGGTCGTGATGGTTGTCTAAAGAGCAAGTCTGTGTTTCAACATGGTAGTCTCCTCTGATTTTATTTCAAAAGGATAGATCTTTCAACTATTTTTATAATGTAGACTTAGAGCTGTCAAAGTTCACCCGTCAAGAAGACTCTATTTTGGCTATTCGCAGCACCATACAATGGCTCTGCCCCGCTCCCCCTCGTCGTAACCTCACAGCCAACCCACAATCGTAACCACGCCGAGAAATATTCAAACAATTCACCAAGCACAAATCTCAAAGGTACCTATCTAGTCGACAGCTTCTCTTGATCGTCTTTGGCACCCAGTCTATCATCGACACGTCCTTCATCCATTCCGCTCTCCTACTCCTGGATGCTCCTCTCTGATCTTTAGTCAGGGTACATCACGCAAGCTACAGTACCCAAAAGCCCGCCCCTCTACAGAGTCAGTATGTCTGATAGCAAGAACGGTACGTTCTCTTGGCCCCTGGCAGAGCAGAGCATTGATAATTGAATCCACATTCAGACACTGCAATCTCTGGAGAGGGCAAAGGCTCCTCCTTGGGATCTACCCAGACCGAGCATACCCAGGCAGAGGATACACAGACCGAGAAAGTTAGACTCGAATCCCTATAAGTCAACCTTACCATCTTCTAATACCAATACACAACAGTTCCCAAGCTTGCCATCTTATCAAGGACCTTCTCTCCACAAATCCAAATCATTCACCGCCGCTGAGTCCAGCAATGCTGCAACGGAAGCCGAGGACATGACAGCAGTCGTTGAACGCCTTAAGCGCGAGAATCCGCCGCCATCTCTCCAGGAAGCTCGGGAGCAGCGTGCAAGCAACAAGGAACAGCGTAGAGCAAGCATCAGCCTGATCCGCAGCCGCACTGCCTCGAGGGCTTCAAACAGCGGAAGACCGTCGTTGGAGGGTGTGGAAAAAGGACACAATGCTTAAGAATGATTGCTCATACTTGTGGTGGTGCTCTCCGAGGTGAAAAAATATCTACGACAATGGGCAAGAGCAAATGCGGCGATAGATGGAATAGTGCACATGCGTTGGCATCACATTCTTGGAGAGTTAACCTGATTTTTTCTACAAACGGGACTCCCATTCAGATGCCTTTGATTTTAGAGACTAGGTGTCCTGGAAGGTTACTCTCTCGGAGTCTCTAGAATCAAATCTGTAACACTCCCTGCACAAGATACGCCAGTGAAAAGAAATAAAAAAAAACGCCCCTTTAGTAAACCATCAGACAGCCTGCGGAATCATCTCCATATGCATAAGTAGACCAGTAACGGAAAGTTTTGGCCATACCTCCTCTGCTATGTAAACTCTGGGCCAGCTGACCGCAGCATTGTTCAAGTAACTCGCTGCATAAGCACGGGGAATGCGCACGGAACAATTGGGATCCAACCTTGACTCACAACAGCATCTCCAATCACAGTTTAGTGTCCATATCCAGGCTGCAAAACTGGATGTTTGCGCTCCAAATCTTCCACTAGATGCTCTGCGTGCTCCCACTCTCTGTCGAAGTTGAAAACATCTGACGGATTCGATTGCATTGTAGCGTCAAAATTGAATTCGCGCCAAAATTGATGCTGGAATTCTTGAAAGACAACGGGCGGCTTTTCTGAATATTTGAAAAACTCGAAGTATTCTTTGTTGAGAATCAAATAGCGGATCAAGCGAAATAGGAACTCTACAATGCGGACATCGAACAGCAGAAAGCAAGCATTAAGAGTCCGCTTGAGAGCCTCCTTCTTCGGATCACCGCTGAAGAGTTTTATCCTGATGGTTCTTAACAATTGTAGGAAGGAATGTGCAAATCGAAAAGGACTTACGTGTATATCACATCAGCATGTGGATTGCTCCGCTGTGCTGGACCAGTAGCTCTGGACTTGAACACAGCATACTCGCCGGTTCTCTTGAATGACTCGCTCACATCAAAGCTTTGTGGGCGAGTGTAATTGAACTTCTTTGCCCAAGCCATGAATAACCGAGGAAAGTCTCCAGAAGAGCAATACACCGAGAAGGCCCTCTGGCGGAATCTCTCTGCCGACTCGTCGTAACCCGACAGCGGAACAATCGAATTCGGTTCGTAGGTTGGTTCTGGAATATCGTGGGTCATATATCTCTCGGACGCTGACAACCGCGTACAGCGTTGCGAATGACCGTAAGCGTCGGCCAGAAGACAGGCAATGGAGCAGTATCGGATATTGCTGTATGGACCACAACCTGAACATAAAAACACGGGGTTTTCGTTGCTAGCAATTGTACGTTCCTGACAATAGGTGCAATTGTATGGAACAGGACTAAAATCTGGAGCTTGATGTCGAGGGCGTTCATTAACTTCGTTCGAGGGTTCCTTGACAGAATAACTACTTTCCATCGGCACCGTACCACGCTGCTGATGTCCATGGCCGGGCAAGCTTCGAGGATGAGGGTAGTCTGTGGCCTCCGTTGCCGTGGGAAAGTTGGTAGTAGGATGCGAATCAGGTTGAGCTCTGATTCCTGTATTGTGACCGTCGGAATTATGAACATTCGTTCCAGATGTTTGATCGACGTACTGGGAGGTTGTGTAAGAGGCTCCGGGAGTCTGGCCAGAAACACCAGGGTTGAGGTTAAGACCCGCTTCCATGTTTTCCGTCATATGCGAAAGAGACGAATCTTGTGCGCAGTGGTTGTCGGTGTTGCCAGTAGGGATACTGGCACGGCCAGCACTCATTACGTGATCGTGTTCTCCGCCATATGAAGCATTAGGGCTATGCTGAAAGTCCTGGTCCGTGGGAGGGGGTTCGTTTGGAACCTCCGGGAGATCGACCACCCCATCAGCTGCAGCAAGATGTACGTGTGGTCCATCCTCAACATCTTTGATTGATGTGGGAATATGGTGGCTTGGTCCAGAACCACTGCCTTTGGAACTGTTGTCGTCGGTACCTCGATCACTGCTGGCATCCTTCATTGGACACGAAGAGGCTGTGAAATGGTGTGGTTCTTCTACGTCTTTCGAAACTTCTTGCTCGGCTGGGGTGGGCGATGCTGAAGCTTTGGAAGGTATAGCAGAGAACTCATCCGAATTGATGATCTTGTTCTTTTCAACACCCTTTACGACAGATTCCATATTTGCGACTAGCTTCTCTGTCTGGCCCATTGTAGGGTTTAGAGCTGGCTTATACGTCGCTTGACTTTTGCGGGATTTCTGAAGGTGTGCATCCTTTCTTGTCGATGTATTTTGCTCTCTATGGGGCCCCTGAGGATTTAGTGAGGTGCCATATTTCCGCGACTGTCGCGACGGCTGCTGGGGGGGATTCTAAAGCAAAGATTAGCAAGAAATACAGGATACGAGGTAACACCGAGTTACATACCATTTGAAAGCTCTGATTAGATAGTGTTGTTGCGTCTTTAAAGGACTGTCCCGCCAAGTGGTCTGATGCGTGTCTCGAGCTTGTGGACTTTCCTAATCCTCGTGTGAGCTTACTCGACTTTCGAGATGATTTAGACTGCACAACGCTCCAAGCCCCACCCTCCTCATCATCTGGTGGCTTATCGGATGTACCAGGCTGTTCTTGTTTTGATGGTTGATCAGATGTACCAGGCTGGTCTTCTTTTGATGTCCCAACCTCAGAGGGCTTGTGAGACGATGACCTTGCGAATCCACTAGGAACACATTTGGTGTCAGATGCTGTCTCGGACGCCGGGACCTGTTTGGATTTGCCCTTATTCTTTTTTCTCTTCCGACGCGTCTTTCCATCGGCCTGATTTATCTTCATAGGCTCATCCTTGGCCAATGAATCAGCAGTGCCCATTGAATGACTGATCCTAAGATCAAGAGCAAGATGACCAGTATTATCAGCAATTTTCTTACTGCCATTGTTGCCATTGGAAAAGCTATCGTTGCTCTCGTTCACGACAGAAGGGAAATGAGTGTTAGCAACAATACTCTTGGCTTTATCGGCGGAGGTATTAGTCGTATCTGTAACCGGGTCATTAGTCTGATCAACAGTAGTACTAACAGTCCGTTGCGAAGCAACGGCCTCGTCGCTCAAATCTCGCTCGGCGGCTTTGATGAGCTGTGTCTGTTCCCGCACCACGAGACCTTGAAAAGGAGAGCGTCGGCGAACGGACTCTTCCAACTCATTATTCATAATGAGATCTTGGAGGAATATGGCAAGTACCGAATCGCGGTGAATGACGTCCCCCCTCAAAATCTCGCTCCAGTCACCCTGGTAGTAGGTAATGACATAGTTTATTCCATGTAATAAAGTTTGGTCTTGGGGACCAGACTCTAGCTCGTTTTCCTGCTTTGCATCTGATATAGATTCGTAATAGTCCGCATCATGTACTGTGTTTCCATTGAAAAAATTGGCGGCGAGTTTTTCGAAGCCTGGCGATAATGGGAAGACGTAGGACGACTCGGACATAACATCTACCTGATTATCAGTGGGAAGATAATGGATTCTGATGAGGTAAAACGCACCGACAAGCACACTCCATGCTGCTATCCCTCTCATGTGCACTGTCTCTTCTCCCATGAAGGCGGCAAATTGTCTATGACTACCATGAAGCTTATACCTAACCATCGGAGGGGGTTTATCTGGGTAAAGGCGCAGTGAGCGAGTGCATAATCGAGTGTTGAAACCCTTTGATACATTAGCAGGGGATGCACATCAAGGGGAGAGCAGATTTACAGCCTCAAAGACTTTTGGTTCAATTGACATCTTGCCCTCTGGGAGTGCAAGCTCTGTTTTGGAGTAGTTCACTAAGAAAGCCGAATAGAGCCCCATCGCTTTCCAGTCGGGGGGTAGGTCTGCGAGATACGAGGACAGTCGATGGACAGTAAATTGGCGTAGAGCCTCTGACGCTGACGCCGACGAGCGAAGTGTGTTTTGAATGAGCTCCTCAAGAGAGATAGCTTCAGCCGTCCTGTTGCGATGATCGACCGAGGCGAAGAACTCAGACCTTCCCAGCTGTGCTGAGGAGATTGACTCTGTCAGATTATTATCATTGGCCGAGTCTGCCCCGGTAGAAAAATCCTTTGGCTCTAGGGATTCAACACTGCTAGACTCATTAGCAGCTAGAGACGGATATTTTGTATGGCACAAAGATCTCAGGCTTATCATAGGTCCTAGAGATGACTTACTGGCGATGTTGATTACTGCGGGCGAAGCCGAATCCAGAAGCAATTGTAGACACGTCTGATGATCTAACGAGATCCAAGAAATTGGGATCGCGTAGGATACTGTGAGATGTCGTAGGATTGCTCGAAGAAGCCAGCGCCTCTCCAGAGTCGTGGAGAAGCTGGGATGGGCTAGTCTGAGTAGAAGAATGGTATTGGAGAGAAGCCAATGGCAGAAGCTGATCTTCTGGCGTGTCCGCGTGGATTCGATCCGCACTGTCAGCCTCCCGGCAGAGATCAGTGGCGCCTTCTGAAGACGACCAAATTGATGATCCCTAAAGAACAGTTAGCAGGGAGGTAAGTATGCAGTTACGTGTTTGATTTGGGTTGTGGTCTAGTATAGTGTGGAAGATCGGGTAGAACTTTTGGCTTTCCCATTCTGGATGTGCTTGTCGTCCTGACGACAGTTGACTACAGCTAGGAGTTGAATCCTTACCTCCATAGTTGGGGCGCGATACCGTTGTTTGTTGACAGGCAGATGGTGTGTTACGAAATTTCAGTTGGTGGGGGGGAGGAGAACGAAGAACTTGAGGTTGGTGTTCGCGCAGCATTGAATTTATTAGGTATATTACATGCGCGCGCGCGAAGCGAGGTGACGCTTGAGAAGCTCACTTTATCTCCCTCCTCTCTAGCATCGACGTGAGTCCTGATCCTTGTATCACTAGCACGCCACGGGCACAGGACAGACACGGACACAGGAAGGCGAAATTAAGCCATAGCACAGCCTTTACTAACAGCGTGCCTAGCAGCAGGGAGAAGCGTCAAACTTTGGGCTCCTATGAGAACGTAGCGATCCTAGGATGAGGGACTAAGGATGGCATCTGTATCTACGTTCCCTTCCCTCACTAAAATGAGAATGTCCAAAGTATATTGATATCCAAGTACTCTAATAATAACAACATTAACTTAGACTGTTGTGGACTCAGAGGGCCGAGAAGAGGCTACAAAAGTCCAGGATCTGATGGGACCTACCTCTCCCCTCCTCTCCTTTTCCTTTCTTTACTAGAGACACATTGTCTGCGGGCCATCTCAGATCCCTAGGGTTGGCCAAGACCTCTCTGTAAAGTGATACTTATGAACCCTTATTCACAACAACACAGCCTCTTAGATAACCCCCTTGCCCAGCACAGAAGTGACTTATGCGGGTTGAGCTGCGTAATTTGGATATGAACAAAGAAACACCTATAACACAGGGGCTTTGGAATAGTGGAAGTGCCAGTCTAGGACCACAAATATCACTTGGGGGTGAAAATTGTAGACCTTTAGCACAGGTGGGCCTGTAGATTGGAATACTTTCAACGACAGGCATCATATACTACTGACTTACGAAAGCAGTCAATTTGCCAGCAAACAATAACAAACTAGGGCTTTACAAAGACTTGGCTTTAAAGGTGATATGATAGCTGAGCTAGGTAGCGAGGTATGTGTGGTGAATATCGCCTTAGAGAAAACAGTTGAAGGTATAGCCGTGGCAAGATCTGTCGGGTCAAGCACTACTAAAGTGTCATCCTGAACATCAAGAAGAACAATAAACACAGCAAGCATCAAGTAGTAAAGAAAGGGGAATGTAAACTGGAATGCAAAGGCATGCCAGCTTGAGAGGCGAGGCTTGTCGTTAAGCTGGGAACGCCTAGCTCTTTATACTGTGAGGCTCAAGGTATCCCTGGAGTTATTCTATGAACTTTGCCGAATTCGGCTAGAACTACACCACTTCATGAAAGTGTTCCAAAACTTTGACAGCAGAACTCTTGCAAAGCCCAAAGGCCAACATTACAAGGCGCAGTGCCACAAGACACAGACACGCTTTTCCTCTTGCTTTCAAGCAAACCTGGATGACTCGGGTATCTGTCCCCTACAGGACTTGCCGTTGCGACAACTCGCCCTTCATATTTGCGCCATTCTCCTGCGGTAGCCTTCTCTTTCTCGACGACACTATCAGCCTATCTCTGCTCACCCTCACTCGTGCACCTGCACACTAACTTTCACGGCATGGCAGACCAACAACCGAGCATCAGCTCCATTCTGGCTGCTCTGGGTGAGTAGAACTCTGGGATCTCTATATTGGTTTCTAAAAGCTGAATCTCTCATAGCGGCACAACGTCCTAACCCAGCACCTGCTCAAAACCAACAACCTGCATACCAACAAGCGGCGCAACCCCAGCAGCAAGCCCCCTATGCGGCACCACCTGGTGGATATGCACTGCCGCAGCCTACAAATTCCGGTAGCGTGGACCTAAGTAGCATCAAGCCTGTCAACTCGGGGACCGTCAGCATCGCTGATGCTATCGCGAAGGCAAAGGCAATTGCGGCAGAAAAGGGCGTTTCGTACGAGAGACCCTCTTCCTACAGCGGCTCAGACCTTCGACTTGCTACAGGTAGACCGTACAGAAGCTCGAGATCGCGATCCCGATCTCCGCCTCCCGCCCGTCGCGATGCCTTCCGAGATAACTTCAACCCATATCGAGACGAGCGAAGAGGCGACCGAGCCCCACCGGCCAGAGACTACCGTGAACGCTCCTTCTCTCCTGGACTGCATGGACGAGGAGCAGGCGGTACCTTCTCACCTCCTCACAGTAACGGTGCCTACGCTCCTCCTCGCGAGCGATCGCCAGCCCGTGGCGGAGAAGATAATGTTGAATCTCTTTCTATCGAATCAAACCTTGTTGGGTTGATAATTGGCAGGCAAGGCGAGAATCTTAGGCGTGTCGAAGCTGAGACAGGTTGCAAAGTGCAATTCATAACTGGCCCTGATGAGACTGGCCCTTACAGGCAATGCAAAATCACTGGGCCACGAGCACGCCGAGCTGAAGCTAAAGCTGAGATAAACCGTATTATTGACGACAGCGGCATGGCTGGTAATTCACGAGCAGCCATTGACAGGACACTCCGAGATGCTCCACCTGCACGGACTTCCTCACACCAGCCGGCCTTGAGGGATGGCGAAGACAGTATGCAAATTATGGTTCCGGACAGAACAGTTGGCCTTATTATTGGCCGTGGCGGAGAGACCATCAGAGACCTACAGGAACGAAGTGGTTGTCATGTTAACATTGTTGGAGAGCAGAAGAGTGTTAACGGCCTTCGACCAGTGAACCTTATTGGCTCTAGGGAAGCAGCTGCTCGTGCAAAGGATTTAATTATGGAAATCGTCGAGAGCGATAGCAAGGGTACAACAAGCAAAGATCGCACTTCAGCGCAGAGAGATCAGGCTCGAGATACGGGCTATGGGAGTGGACATGGCGGAGGAGGCGGTTTGGATAAAGTCAACGATTCCATATTCGTACCATCAGAAGCTGTTGGCATGATCATTGGCAAAGGTGGAGAAACGATCAAGGATATGCAGAGCACTACCGGCTGCAAGATAAATGTCTCGCCATCATCAGGACCAGGTGAAATTGAGCGTGAAATTGGCCTTGTTGGCTCTCGGGACGCAATCGCTGCCGCCAAGCGTGCCATCGAAGATAAAGTAGAAGCAGTGGTGAGCAGACTATGTCACTTTTGCAAGCAATGTATTGATCTTCTTGCAGCAACAGAAGAGCGCCGGTGGTGGGGCCGGCCGTGGCCGTGCTCCCCAAAACGACTATGGCGATCGGGCTTACTCTCACTCATCTTACTCTCAACCTCAAGGGCAAGCGCAGTCCCAGGTTGCTCCTCCAACTGGACAAGATGATCCTTATGCAGCATGTATGATATTCCCCATAGCCGCCTATCTAGAACCCGATGCTAATAGATCTAGACGGCGGATACCAAGCATATGTAGCGCTCTGGTATCAAGCGATGGCTCAACAACAGCAGGCGGGCCAGGCCCAAGGCGATCCCTCCAAACCACCCGGAACCTCGTAAGACGACGCTGACCTCGATTGTGGACAACACCCTTGACTGCTTGACTTGCATGATTCGCATAAACCTTCGCCTGAGATTGCATTTGAGACCATGATTTCGACTATGGATCGATATGACAGCCTGCATGCACTTGATGCCCGAGTTGATGACGATTATATTTCCTGCTTACTGGTCCTTATTTCTTACTTCCAATTGCTCTCGCAGTTCACGCCCGGATATTAGATCCCTGGATGTTGCTCTCCACGATTGACATGCCTCGATGATAGCCTCGATTCCGATCATTGATCTTTGGTCTTGCTGAGGAGCTCGACTACACGCGTATTGATCTATCTGACGATTCTGACCTCGATTGACATGATCTTGATCTCAGCATCACTCGACTCAACACCTCGTACATGATTGCAATGATTACGATGACTGCAATGATTTTCAAGTGCAATCTCTGGCTATCCTGCTCTGCTAGCAAGCCAAGCCAACAATTTGCTCATAGGCTACCTCATGCGTGCTTCTAAAGTGCCCGCCTTTATGCTCCTGGTTGATGTTAGCCATTCCATTGAAAGTGCTCTAGCAATTCTGGAACCTAGGTATTGAAGTGCCGAAAAGCTGGTTCGCAAAGGATGCTCTTGATGCCTCTGCGCTTGCAGACTTCCCTGCTGAATTCTACGTATAATAATGCCCTTACCAGACACATACCCTCGCAAGCAGGGTTATAGTAAGGACTGATCCTGGGTCATGCTTATAATTGAGGGTGGGAGCAAGACTGTGTGTACTGTAGGATAATGACTAAAAATATCATCGTACTTTGAGAATGCCATGGTGATGAATATGAATAGTAATGTTACTTGATAGGAATTTGCTCCTTGGTAGCCATAGATGCTCTGAAAAGTACATATATACTTGATAGGTACGTAAGGTACCTAGGTACAGTAATCGCTCACCCAATGGAGCTGCCAGCCCCGCAGCCTCAGCCTCAGCCGCCCCAGCCGCCTCAGCCTCGTGTTTTTCATGCCTTCGAAATCAGGCGACCACAGGCCATTCAATACTTGTACCGCTAGATCAGAAATTCGAGCTCTCTTCTTAGATCGCGTTGACTTTGCGACAACGCAAGTATCTTATTATCCACGACCTCTGTTGCATTAACGCGTTACCGATTTTTACCAGGCAGCCCTTCCTCGAGATTTGAAAATCTCTGCTAGTCGCTTCCCTCCAAGTCGTCCTATTCTCCAGTCCAATACCCGTATTGTCAACCACACCATGGTTCAGATCAGCGAAGTCAAGGGCAACGCCCGCGACAACCGTACATTCGCGCATACACATATCAAGGGGCTTGGTCTCCGACCTGATGGTACTGCGGAGAGACAAGCGGCTGGGTTTGTGGGTCAAGTTGCAGCTCGGGAGGTAGGAATTATTACGTTTCCCCCGACGAAAGCTTCGCAGATGGGCTGATGACTTTCTTTTCCATAGGCATGCGGCGTAGTGGTTGATTTAATTCGGGCACAGAAGATGGCTGGCAGGGCAATATTGCTTGCAGGAGGACCTGGAACAGGCAAGACAGCTCTTGCCCTCGCCATAAGCCAAGAACTCGGGACGAAGGTACCGTTCTGTCCGATTGTTGGCAGCGAGCTATATTCGACAGAAGTCAAAAAGACTGAAGCCCTGATGGAGAATTTTCGAAGGGCCATTGGTCTGAAGGTCCGCGAAACAAAGGAGGTTTACGAAGGCGAAGTCACCGAGTTGACACCGGAGGAAGCAGAAAATCCTCTGGGCAGCTATGGGAAGACGATTAGCACATTGCTAATTGGTCTCAAGAGTGCGAAGGGCCAGAAGAAGCTACGATTAGATCCCAGCATTTATGAGGCCATCCAAAAGGAGAGAGTTACGGTTGGGGATGTCATCTACATAGAAGCGAACACTGGAGCCTGCAAGCGTGTTGGAAGGTCTGATGCATACGCTACGGAGTTCGATCTAGAAGCCGAGGAATATGTGCCAATACCAAAAGGAGATGTGCACAAGAAGAAGGAGATAGTACAGGACGTCACATTACACGATCTCGACGTTGCGAACGCAAGACCGCAAGGAGGACAGGATATTATGAGCATGATGGGTCAATTGATGAAACCAAAGATGACTGAGATCACTGAAAAGCTTCGAACAGAGATTAATAAGGTCGTCAACAAGTACATCGATCAGGGTGTCGCGGAGCTTGTGCCTGGCGTCTTGTTCATCGACGAGGTATGTATATGACTGATTCCGCTTTATTTTTGTCCAACCATTGACAGTACTATCCATAGGTCCACATGCTTGACATCGAATGCTTCACGTATCTCAACAGAGCACTCGAATCCAGCATCTCACCTATCGTCATTCTCGCTTCAAACCGTGGCATGTGCACCATCCGTGGCACCGAAGATCTAATCTCCGCCCATGGAATTCCTCCCGATCTCCTGGCCCGACTCCTGATCATCCCTACAAACCCTTACGAGGCTGAAGAAATCAAGAGAATCATACGGATCCGAGTTACGGTGGAAGGCCTCGCGATAACAGAGGCTGCTCTGGATAAGATCGCTGACCACGGCTCCCGCATTAGCCTGAGGTATGCGCTGCAGCTTCTCACGCCATCCAGCATTCTTGCGCGAGTAAGCGGGCGCAATCAGATTGATGTGATGGATGTGGGTGAGTGCGAGGATTTATTCATTGATGCTCGGCGGTCTGCAGCTATCGTGAACAACGCCCAGATAGAGAACGGGTTCATTTCATAGACGAACAGGCGGTCATGCCACAGGTCGGGTCTGGTCTGGTCTGGTAGTTCATTATAAAAAGTTTGGTACGTGTCGTTTGTTTGGCGTCAAGGCCTGTCCTGTCTCAGATGGTCGTTTGCGGTGGGTGGGCCGGGGAATGGGAAGTACCTTTGTACTTGGTATGTACAGTACGTGCTGTTGTTGTAGTAAGCGAGGTAAACCAAATCGGGGTTCAACTATTCACATTCTTCACTTGCCAGCCCTCGCATATTTTGCGCCTTTCAATGAACATGGATGCCAGAGAGTATTTTGGCGTGTTTGGCGTGTTCCAGTGGGCATGCTCAGCAAAAGTTGCACCAGCACATCACGTCCCGTCTGGAAGCAGTATCCTACCTCTGGGTCTTGGGGAAAGGCCCTGAGGACAAAGGAAAGTGGCCCCTTGCGCCTGCAGTTACAGCTATCACGGCTCTCCCGAGACAACAAAGACATCTCACCTGCAATAATGGTCCCGTTAGTCCATGGCTGGCGTCGTTGAGAGGAAAGATCATTGTTTTCCTTTCCATCAATGGCCACTCCATACAAAGGGTCTTCAAAACAAGGAGAAGAAGCCCATTCACACCCTCTTCAACGCCCGACCTTTTGACTATCCTTCCCCCATACTCTGCGATCTGAAGGTTCCCCTCAACATCTTCTCCAAGTAGATCCACCATCATGCCAGATACGGTTGTGTTGGACTCCTCGAACCTGGATCCTCCTCGATCACCTGTAAGCATCTCGACAGAGCCTAGCCGACGTGGCTCAATCAAGCCGGTACATCGCCCTGAGAAGCACGCAGAACCACCAACAGCCTCTTCTCCGCCCGCCCGTTTGACGAGGAAGAGAGCAGCAACACTTCATGCTGAGACTGCAAACCTTCCTCCGAACATAGAAGGCCTTGCTCTCAACAGTGCGAGTACCACAGGACCAGTCACGTCTGACCTGACAAGAGAGCAAGTATGCCTTTGTCAACCCGATCCTAAGATCCCTCGTCCACGAAACGGTGCGTGACCTGCTCTCTTTGATGGCTCTCTCAATTGATTGGCCTTTCTAAGGATTGCTTCAATCTTTTCCTTTGTTACATACCTCCTCAAAGGCTCTTTGATGCAGACTCCATAGCTAACTTGACGCCTGATCGTAGCTTTCATTCTTTACCGTCAACATTATCAGGCGCAGGTCGTCGCTCAAAATCCAGGCCTTGCAAACCCTGAAATTTCAAAGATAATCGGCGAACGATGGAGAGAACAGGCACCTGAAGTGAAGAGTGACTGGAAAAGATTAGCTGAAGTAGATAAGGTCCTTTTTACCTGCATTGTGTGGAAGGTGCTAATTGCCGTCATCGAGAAGGAAGAAAAACAACGACATCAGCGACAATATCCAGGGTATCGATACCAACCTCGACGTGCAGGTAAACCGAACGGAGCACGTCCAGTTTCTGCTTCCTCGGCCGATGATTCAGTGCGCTGCCCAAAGTGCGGTGGCAGATACATCTCCACGCCAAGTACACCCTTGACCCCCTTCACGCCTGGCTTTGGAGTTGGATCTACCACCAGAAACGAGCGTCTTCCTCTGCCGTTCACCCCGCCAGCAATTTCTCGAAGCACGGCCTTGGAGCAGCCAAGGTATACATCACAGATGGACAACGTCAGGATGGATAGCCCACGAGCAGGCCCCCTGCACCAACAAGGCCATCGCCGTGCTCCGTATCCACATCCGCAGCAGCTTCAAACTCACCGTGAACGAGACGAGGATATGGACCTACTAAGTCCATCATCAGACCAAAAGCGCCGTCGATACAATACCGAGCCACAGCCCCAACGTGGCTATCCATCCTCGTCGCCGATATCTCATACAGCCCCACAAGCTTTCTCCCGTAGTGGGGTCCAAATGCCCGCTACGGGCTATAGACCACAGCAACTACTAGGTCCAGGCATGCTCTCCCGAACTGGAAATGTTAGTGCATCTCCGCAACAGTCCCTCATGGTCCAACAGTCACGCCATCAGTATCCGAGTCGCTCAGACACTTTCGATGAATCTCTCCGATTGCCACCCTTGCAAACACAACTTTCAGGTCCAAACCAGCCCTCTTCTCATAGAACAGATCCACGGGCGGAGAACCGCGATAGCCAGGCTAGGAGCGTAGAGGCAATGGTGATGACAATACCATATGTTAATAAGATCAAGGTTTTAACCAAAATTTCTCCTCCCCTTACACCACCTGGCCCCACGAGTCCTGCCCAACAAATCCGTGGTGCCGTGATTGCAGTTGAAGGTGCAGACAGTGCGCTTCTATCTGAAGTCGGTTCCTTCATCAATGAACATCTCGGCAGGGACAGCTCTTGTGCCATGAAGACCTGGACTAGCTCCACGCCCTCCGTGAAGGAGGCACCCACCCCAGCAGTCGACACAGAGATGACGGACGCCTGTGTCGCCTCTAATAAATCTTCTCCAATTGAGGATACAACTCAGACACCCTTTGTTGAATATTTATCTATAATATCCGAGTGGCACAAAAAGTCCCGGGAGATAACGAAGTACATCACCACCACTCCTGCTCTTCCCGGAGCTGATCTGGACAGCGCATCCTCGCCGCAATCCCCTGCAGCGAAAGTTCTTCCTATAGCTCTCCTTCCACAGGGCTTCTCTCTCACCACGTCCGACACATTTGCTCTCCGGATACCTATCAACGACTCTTATGCCCCAGTTGACCACTGGCAATGGATGGCTACTCTCTGGCGGGGAATAATTGGCCCAGATCTTACGGTTTACGTGAAGAGGGTCGATAAGGAAGAAATGGAAAGGTATGGTGGCGTGGAGATCCGAGCAGATTGTGCTGGGATTGTAGTAAGGGTAGCTGAAACGGGGAAGATGGACGAGAAGACCGCGAGGCGGTTAGGTTTTGAAGTTATGGAATTCGTCAGGAGTATTGAGGGTGGCTTTGAGATAAGCCAATGATACGACTTACACATAGTATCTGCTAATATGTGTCTAGATATGGAGGTAGGTTCAAATGTATTATTCTACTGTATATAAACCAGGCTACTTAGAAATAGATAACTGTTACATATCTCAATAACGCGTTTAACACAGGTGCATTTATGTGAAATTTTGTAGGGCGCTTCGGTAGAGGGCTCAAGAATTTAGACTTCTAACCGAAGGATGATAGCAATTGGGCCGTCTGTTGTTCCCGGCCTTGATTTATTGGCCGCACCGCAAGCACGGCTTCTCTTCTTATACGCAATCACTTCCACAGCCTCGGTTTGTATCTTCTGCGATTATCTCTTCGTTCACCATACAGTGTGGGAAATCAGATCAAACTGGCAATAGAAACAGTAGAGATTACAAACCTGAATGGATCAACTGAGGACAGTGAGGAGAGATTGGCCCCCCAGGTCAGGGGACAAAACCTCAAGTCGACGGTCTGAAATGAAAACCCCAAGAGACCATGTCTGCAGCATCATTCAGAGCAGCTGGGATGGCGTGTGGAGTTCATCGGTCTTTATCAACCATGAGATAGATATATACCTCTGCTAATATAAGGAAACTATTTTAGTGGGTCCCCTCTCTCAACTCGTCTTTGCTTTTCCCCTTTGTGACGCTTTCTATTGATCATGTATCCTTATCACATTAATATCTTCGATTACTTCCGAGAGTCTACAATCGACTTGCAGCGGTGCTAGGTAGTTGTGGTGCTGCCGTAAGGATATTTTATATCCGTCGGTTCGTCTAATTGGGGAATATTAGATGGAGATCTGACAGTACGTACCTAGCGCATAGCGTGTTCTCAAGATGAGTAGATGAAGTCAAGTCGGGTCGTCCGCCAAGGTCTTACCTTAGCCAACAATGCCGAGTAATGGATTACACACCTGCACCTTACGAAAGATGGGATTATCAGTCGAGACCACAATCCTGGATGGTGTATTTTTGAGTATCAAAATCTGTAGCTTGCCGATCCTAAAGCTTAGGCATGGCATGGGTCGTGGGTTACCTTAGGTACTGTAATGGGGGGGGGAGTTCGTGTTTATTAGTAGGTTGTATTCTCTAAGTAGGAGAGTGCCACCATTGTAGGCTTATAGCTAGCTAAGCGAACCCTATTAAATAATAGTACTATCATGTAACTATTTCCTATCGCTACAAGGTACCCCTAGACTTATAGTAAGTACCTACGATCGATAAAAGAAGAGCAAACTATTCTAGTAACCTGTATACATCCTATAATAGTAATTCGCTAGCTAATTCTAGTACCTATAATCCCTTACCCGCCTACTAAGGTAGTCGCCCGACTAAACTTAGAAGCTGTAAGGGTTAGTAAGATCTAAGTATCGCGTTCCTAGTTAGCTAGCGAACTTTATTACTACTAGGTTAATATTAAGTAATACTATCCTTATATCATAGGTCTAGTTAGTATTAACAGAGAACCTTATTACGCCTGCTTAATTAGTTCTAGGCATATATACTTTTAAATCGTCTAGATAGTACTTCTTAATTCGACTGTCTTTATATATGTTTGTTACCTTAGCTAAGATGTCTAAGGTTATTCTAGTTAGAAGTCTAGGACCTATCTATCGTGTCTCGAGTTTACGTCCTTTCTCTTTGTCTAGCTAATAGTTACGTATAAAGACTAGATCTCCTTATAAGGGTTTAAGGAACCTAGGATTCTTTATATTCTCTAACTTTAAGTAAGTATAGGCGATTAATACTACGACTCGGTCTCTTAACTCTTTACGTTTCTCTTAAAGGAATAACTAATACTCTCTTAGGACTACTAATAATGTAATAATATTAGATTAATAGTCCTAGTTAACTTACTAATGTAGTTAACAATTAGTGTAGTTAGTCGTATTTTTAGCCTTATGCCTATTGTTATTAAGAGCTACTAGTCGCTTGATTTCTAGTATCTATAGCTATGTTAAGATATATCTAAGTATTATTTTAGCTAAGGAAAAGGAATGTGTCCTAACTAGCCTAGTGTTAATTACTAAAGAGATTTCTCCTAAGGTAAAGGGCTATATTAGTACTGACTAGGGCCCCTTCTTAATAACCTATTTCCTAAGCTATACTAAAACTAACTAAACACATTACTTGATTAAGCTAACTAACTATAGATAGGTAATAAGTACGTAGTCTACAAATAATCTATAGGATTTAAATAAAGTATAGGTCTTAACTATAGTAAAATGACTTTTATTGTCTAAGTATACTTGTTCTAGCTACCTAAAAATTAGTACTAGGTAGTTAACCTAGAAATCGATTACTATAGCTAAGTCTACTGTTATGTATACCTTAATAAATACTATTTTATTATTATTGTTCTTACTGCCTATACCTACTACATGTAGAACCTCTATACTACATAAATCACGTAGTAAAACCGTGCTAAAGCCGGGTAAAAACCTACGTACTACTACTTGTGTTTATACTATTATAGCGCTACTAGGGCGCCGGGTCCTTATCGCTACCCTACTAGAACTTAACCTTTTAGCCTAGTAATACTAAACATACTAACAGGACGCTAGTAAGGCGCCGGCAAGGCGCCGGCTACTAGCTAGGGCTACTCTTTCTCTTATAACTCTTTTACTAGGTAGTACTTAGCTAGACAGAACTATAGGAATCGGCCGGTAGACAGTAGCTAACGGATTAGTATACAAGCGCTCTTACCTTTCTTTGTTACTACCGTAAAGTCGCGGAACGTCTATAGCGCTCTTAGGTAAAGCGCTTACTATAAGGCCTGCCGCTATTAATCTAGCTACTAGTAGTTAAGGACTAGGTAAGCTACTGTCTCTAGGGCCTTACTATAAGGGCACTAGGAGGTCGCTACCTCTAGTACTCTACACTTAAAAAGGAAAGCCTAGAGTCTAACTTTACTAGTATAGATCTATATTAAAAGAGAGCTCTTGTACTTATAGAAGAGTAAGTACTTCTTAAGGGCATCTACTAAGAGAGTAGGTAGCGCGGCTAGGGCGGCGCCCTAGTAGTATACTAGTAAGCTATCGTGTTAAGACTATCGTGCCTTCTAGTTCCCTTATAAGGTCTTCTCTAAAGGAGAGTCCTTATACTAGTCCTTTACTTATATAGCTTAGCCTGCCTTATACTTAAGTAACGTATAAGGTAGCGCTATAGTAGCGCTATAGTAGTGTCTTTAGCGTTGTTAAAGACAGGCCGCTACCTTATTATAAATAGACTATATAAGTTCTCTCTTACTTATACGTTTAAGACGTTATTTAAAGTCTGTTACCTACTTGTTAAGGTAGAGGTTAAGTAAGGGCGTAGCTGTTTTAGACTTAAGGAACTAGACAGGCGTCGCCTAGTACGTCCTTACGATAACGTAAAGGCACTATAACTACTTTATAGCGAGGTCCTTTATAATCCTCTTAGCTCGCTACCTAGAGGGGCGGTACTAGACCCTTACGCTATATACTATAGTACTCTAGATTACCTTTGTATAGATCTCTCTTACGCGTAGCAGGCTATATCTTTACGCGAACGCAGTAAGCCTTATAAGCGCAAACTACTAGGTAGTAAACTTTTGTTTAATAGCGTTAAGGTAGCCCTTTTATCTAAGCTTCTAGTCTAACTAAACTCCTAGAAAGCGCGCCTCTTAGACTAGGGGTATAACCTAGTCGTTAAGGTAGACAGGCGTCGTTAGTATAGTGTAAGCATAAGTAAGGTAAAGGAGCTTACTCTTTTTTAAGGCAAACTCTATCCCTCTTATACGCGACTACTAGCTATATATCTACTACGCCCTTTTAAGGTACTAGCGTGTCTCTATCGTATCTCTACTAAAAGCTAAGAGGTTAAGGTCGTTAGCGAACCCTACTATAATAAGGCCTGTATAACCTTATAGTAGCGTGTACAAGCTAGTAGTATAAAAGAGGAAGAGGATAAGAGAGAAGGGTAAACCTTATAGTACCCTTATAGTAACTTTCTAGGGCGGCGCTACCTCCTTGTTAAAGAAGAGACTAGCCGTCCGATTAGTAAGAAAGCTATATACCTACTGTACGGCCTATATAAGGAACCTTAGGTACTAGAGAGTATAAAGAAGGCGTGTATAGTTTACTATGTTAAAGGCGCCTTTAATATTAAGTTAAAAAAGGGACGCTACAGCCTTATAGCTCTACGCTATATACGTAGTGTCGACTACTATTTTGACTATAAGGTCTGTTAAGCGCTACGGCCGGTTCCTTATCTGTGTTTCTAGAAGGAGCCCTTACGACTCTATAGCTTTAGTAAAGCGCCGGCTAATTACTAACTTAATTACTTTGCCTATTACGTTTAAGAGTAATATCGGCCTGTAGGCCTTAGCGGTTTGTTACTACTTAAGGGTCTTTCCGGGCTTACGTAGTACTACTACTTTCGCTACTTTAAACTACGTAAGGAAGTGCCTTAGCTAAAGGCTCGTAGTTACTATTACTATAAGGAGCTTAGCTAAGGGGCGCCTGTATGCCTTAAGGAAGCTAGTAGGTAGTAGGTTAGGGCCTAGCGCCTTTTAGGTACCTGTCTTTTAGAGAACGTTAGTAATATCTGCCTTTGTTATAGTGTCGTTAATAGTAAACTATTAGTACTACTTGTTCTAGAGGTCTAGAATAACGTTACTAAGATTAGCTATTAATTCTAGAAAGAACTGTCGGCCTAACACTATTACTTTGTTATAGTAGCTCGTAACTAGTACCTTCTTGTTAGCGCCTTAAAGAGGTAAGAGTAAGGCCGGTTCTAGGGGTACATAGCTATAGAGCCTAGCCTACTTCTTAAGACTCTATAGTTTCCGTTAGTCCTTTAAGGTAATAGTAAAGGCGCTACGCTAGCTCCTAGTTTTTACGTCTTGTATTATATAGAGTTAATAGGTACTAGCCTGCTAGAGGTCGTGCTAGTAGAGCTTAGTTAGGGCGGTAGCGTATTAATAGCGCGCTACCCGTACTTACTAGACGGCCTTAAGGACCTTACTGTTTTACTAGGGC